ACATCTCATTTCCCCCCTACCCTTTTGCTATTATTAAAGCAACAAGAGAGTGCTACAATTATTGCTTTATCCAACATTATACGTGTGTGTGTGTGTGTGTATTTAAATGCAGCAGAATAAATAGAACCCATTTAAAGAGACTTTGTATTTACCATTTCTGGCATTCTTCAATTTCTTCTTGTGAATTGAAGTTATTATGTAGTGTTACTTTCAGCTTGAAGAATTTCCTTTAGTGTTTCTTACAAGCAGGCCTGGAAGCAACAAATTCTTTCTGTTTTTATCTCACATTGTATTTATTTCACCTTCATCTTTGGTACTTGCTGGGTGCAGAGCTGTGGTCTGACAGCTCTGTCTGTTCTGGCATGTTAACCATGCCATCCCACTGCTCCTGTCCCCACTGTTTCTGATGAGAAGTCATTTATTAATCATACTTCCCTTTTTGCTTTCAAGAATAGGAGCATATTCAGGCAAAAATGTCATAGATTCATGCTGTTCTTATTTAAAGTTTGTAATTCTGACTAGTTTTAAGTGCTTCTCAGCTTGTGGGATGCCTTTGGTCCATCTGCAGAGGTCTGAAATGGCCATTTTTGACACTTTTGTCCAGCATTATTGCTGCTTTTGAGGTCAGAATTTGTTGACCTCACTCTGTCATCATGCCAGCCATGAGAAAATGGTTTGTTTTTTTTTCTGGGTGAAAGAGGAAGCACAGGAGAGCCATGATCTCCTTTGTGTTTTAAATGAATACTTCATAAAACTGTATTAGTTAATTATTGCTCTAAGAAATTACCCCCAAATTTATCTGCTTGAAAAACACACATTTTATTATTTATGTCATAATTTCTGTTTGCCAGAAATTTAGAAGCAGCCTACCTCTTGGTTCTGATTCAGTGCCTCTCAGAAAGTTATAAACAAGATGTCAGCTGGGACTGGACTGGGAGGGCAGAATCCACCTCCGTGTTTGCTTCCTTACCTGCTGGAGGCCTCTGTTTCCTGCTGGGAGTTTCTCCATAGGGCTAGTCACAAGTTGGCATCTGGCCTCCTCCAAAGTGGGGGATGTAAGAGAGAGTGTGAGAGCTGGTAGGAACCCAGACGAAGATGGTAGTAGTAAAGATGGAGAGAAATGAATAGACTGGAAATATTTTACAAGTTGATCAGATGGAGGATTTGTCTTTGGATTGGGTGGGAGTGGAGGGGAACAGATGTTAGGGATGACTTCCAGGCATCTGATATAGGTCCCTGGAGCTGTTGGTCCCATGGCCACCTGAGAGGAGAGACAGCAGAAGGATGGAGTTTGTGGTGCTGATGGAGTTATTGAGATGTGCATGAGAATCCTGACAGTAGGTGAAGAGGCAGTTAGTGCAGTTAAATACTCCAGTCTGGAATTAGAGGAGACAGGAGGGTTGGAGATTAAATTAAAAAAAAAAAAAAAAGGAGTTCTCAGCATTTTGATGATTTGAAGGTATGGGATGGGTGAGGCCTCCCTGGAAGAGAAGGGAAGTGGAGAAGAAGTCCATATCCAAGGCTTAGGAGCTGTAAAATCCAGAGAACAGGGCAGAGGTCTGACAAGGAAGGGCTGAACGTAATGCCTTCATTAGGGTTGTTTGTTATTCCGTTTAATAATAAGTAACCTTTTGGTTGAGAGAGAGGTGGTTAAATAATCCCTGATTCTGTGGGTACAATTAGTTATACATATATTAATTTGTCTGCTTTCAATTCAGGTACCATTTAAAACAAAATCTGGAGAAAACCAGACTGCAAAGCTGCAGGTACAGAGGAAGGTCATATTTTAAGGTCAGTGGTGTCATCTCAAGAGTCAGTAACTGTGGAGAGATCAAATGGAATGAAGATAGAGAAGAGTTCTTTGGACATGGAAAAATGGTGGTAGTGGTATGAAGGACAGAAGACAAGTGGGCTGGAGCATGAACAGAAGATGAAGAAGTTAAAGATTTGGGTATTTATGACTCACTCACCAGGAAAGACCCTTCAAACCTCCATCTGTCTAGGCTTCTAAGCCTCTCCCAGGTATGTTCAGTTTATCCACAAGCCTGCTTTAATCTTGATTCCCATGAATTCTCACGTGGACATCGCATTGTACTAACTAGTCTCCCAAACTTGACTTTGCTTCTCTGAGATCCTTTATGTACTGGGCATCTGAAATGAACAGTAAACCTGTACTGGGTCACCTCACTGTCGGGGCTGGGATTGTAGCTCAGTGGCTGAGGGCTCGCCTCACATATGTGAGGCACTGGGTTCAATCCTCAGTACCACATACAAAAGTAAATAAATAAAAACAAAGATATTAAAAATAAATAAATAAAAGTCTTCCTGTCCACTTATTTCCCTGGACCAAGTCTATAACTCTTGCACATCTCTGGGTTGCATGGATCCTGCCTCCCTCCCCCCCCCCCCCTTCCCCCTTCTGATGTCTGCATTACCATCATCTTCTTTTAGGGTCACCTTGTAATGTCTCCACTGTACCTTATATTCTGTGTGTCCTCCAGATTCAAGTCTTAAAAGTCTTGATGTAAACATCATTCCCTGGAAAGTCTCTTGTTGATCTCCCATTGAAGACTCTGCACTTCTATCATCAAAGATGAATTCGCTTCTTTTTTTTTTTTTTTTTTTTTTTTTCCTGCCATTGGCATCACACAGGCTCTGTCCAGGTTCAGCTATGCCCCAGCATATGATACCTAGAAGGTGCTCAGTAAATCTTTCTTGAATAAATTAAATGAAACCAACGTTTCATTTCCATGGAAATTCTCCACTTGATTTTTTCTTAAACAGGAAAATATTTTAAATAGCTTTAGAGTATTTATTTTAAGTAATGCAAGCTAATTTAGACATTCTAGACAAGGCTTTTCAAAAACAACAGGTCAACAGTATCTCAGGAGGTGAGATCTATAGATCCAATTATTCCAAATCATTGTGACTTCTAGACTGAATGTAATGCCTTCATTACGGGTTGTTTGTTAATCCGTTTAATAATAAGTAACCTTTTGGTTGAGAGAGAGGTGGTTAAATAATCCCTGATTCTGTAGGTACAATTAGTTATACATATATTAATTTGTCTGCTTTCAATTCAGCTACCATTTAAAACAAAATCTAAAAGGAGAAGTAGTGGGAGTTAACAGCCCTCTATTCTTTCCAACATTTTCAGAAAGCAAATGAAAATGAACCCTGAAACAAGCCAACAGCAGGGGCACTCATTAACTTCATACACTTTAATCTTGTGAATTGAAGCTGGAGCCGGATTCACTGAATTGGAGCTGCAGACTTCCACCTCCAACAACCTGCAAGACATCTTCCCATGGGTGTTCTGTTGATACCTCCAATTCAACACATCCCAATCTGAACTCATGATTGTCCCTTGCAGAAACCTGCCCTTCTGTTGAGTACATTGTCACCAGTGGGCCATCCCTGGGCACACAGGCTGGGAGTCTCAGCAGCACCTCCCCAGCCTCAGCTCCTCTCCCCTCCCCACAGCCTCTGGTCTTTGCCTTACTCACAGCAGCAGCCCTGGCCCCTTTTCAGTCATTATCTCTCATCAAGCCTCTTAATTTAGTTCCTTGCTCCCTTCTGTAGATCTTCTTTGCTTATGAGAAACAGCTTAGAAAACCCAGCTATGTCTGTACTGTCAGCCCCTCAAAACAAATACACCTTCAGGCTGGGGGTTAACTCAATAGCAGAGTGCTTGCCTTGCATGTGCAATGTCTTAGGTTTGATCCCACTGCAAAAATAATAAATAAATAAATAAAAATAAAAAAGGAAACCAAAATATCCAAACGTTTCATTGTCATCGTAACTAACACTTATTAAACAACTACTGTGTGCTAGTTCTGTGCTCAGTGCTTTAGCAGTAAGTAAGTTATTGTACTAAGTCCTTGCAAGTACTCTGGTAAATAAAGACCTACAGCCCTGGAAATTGGCTCTGCCTGCCTTGCTCACCTTGTCAAGGTGCCAGTCTTAGTGGCCTTTCTGTTGTAAGCATACATGCCGAGATTTAACCATGACAATTCCACACTCTGAAAGTGCTTCCCGGGTCTCACCTTGCCCAACTGTTTCAGCACAGGACTCCCAGGTCGAATGTGACTTATTCTGGCCTCTAGACCAGCCCAAGAAAGTGTCTTCTAGCATCACAGAGTACTATCACCCATCACCTCCTGTCCTTATTTCTTTTGTTTCCTGTTCAGCTAACTCAATAGAATGTAAGTTCACCCAGGGCAAGGACCATGGGGCTCCAGAGGGTGGCAGAGTGCCTGGCCCTTGGGGGACACTTAGCAAACCTTCACAGAGTGGATAAAAGAAGAATGAGCGCACTTTCCTGACCCTCTCACGCTCTGTAGTCAGGCCACCTGTCAAGGCTCTGGGGCTCTTTTCTCTAGCGCTCTTTCCTCCCTGCACTGGTACTATCTTTCAAAGCACCCAGAGCTGAAGGTGTTGATCTCCAGCTCAAAACTTTCTCTGCTTATCATCTGTTCCTCATTTTGGATCCCCTACCACCTGCTAGGATCCGAGCTTGAGGCCGGATAAAAGCACTGTCTTGGTTACCCTTAGCAACGACAAGGAGTCGTGCCACTTTTCAAAGGCCAAATCTTGACTTTTGAAGCGTCCTGGCACTTTTGCCTTAGAAAGTCCCTCATCCACTCAAAATATATTAAAATTTCTATTTTACACTGCATTTCGTACATTTTGCCAATAATAAAAGAAATTAGTTTGGCGGGTCAGACACTGTCCCTGATGGATTCGTGCCCAGTTGTCCGAAGAGGAAACTGGTGCTCTCTGAACCAAAAGCCATAGCCGTTAGGGCTAAGCAAGGAGTCCAGCAAGAAGGCTGGCGGGCGCTCCAGGACCCGGGGGGCGTTCCCCCAGCTGCGCCTCGGCCCCGCCCCTCCCCTCTCAGGCCCCGCCTCCCCCCGCCGAGGCGCGCCGTTGCGGGGGCGGGGCCGTGCAGCCGCGCTTGCGCCCTCCCGTCCTCCCCACCGCGCGCATGCGCCGCGCCGGCTCGCGGAAAGCATGGCGGGGGCCACGCCAGGCGCCATCATGGCCGAAGACTACTTCGGGAACGCGGCCGAGTGGGGCGACGAGGCGGATGGCGGCCAGGTGAGGCGGGGCACCAGGCGCCCCGCGCCGAGGCTCGTTTGCCGCCGGCGGCCCCGCCCCCGCTGAGCCCGCGCGGGCCAGGCCGGCACTCGGGGGGCGTGCGCTGGGGGCCGCGGGAGCCCTCCGCTGTCCCAGCCTGCGACCCCGCCGCCCGGCCCGGCCCCTGCCGCAGTTTCCCGGGGCGGCCACGTGGCCAGGCGAGGCCAGGCGAGGCCAGGCGCGAGGACTGCCCACCCCATGCAGCGGGGGCGCGGTCTTCAGGCGGGAAGCGGGAGCCGCACTGCTGTCTTCGAAGTCGAACTTAAACCCGAGTCCTGGGGAGAAAGCAGAACTTTGGGCGCCTTCACACTGTCCCGCCGCTGGGCAACCGCGCCTTTAAGCGCTTGGGCAGATTTCACTTTTCCTTGGACCAGATGACAGGCCGAACCTTGCAGCCTGGACGGTCCAGGGGTGGGGTGGGAGCCCGGGACTTGGGAAGTCCGAGGAGGTCCACCCCAGGCCCATGATTGACATAAAGCTTCCCAGGTTACTCTGGTCATGGCTCTCTAGACTGTACTGTGAGGCCTGGGAATTTGCCTTTTAAACCGGAATAAAGATTAGTTTTGAAGGAATAAACCATGAAGTGAGGTTTACTAAGTGGTTCAGCAGGGCACTGGACATGCAGAGAGCTGTATGTTTCTGGAGCTGAAGAAAGTCCTCTGTGGTTAATTACCCTGTGGAACAGGGGCATGAAGTTGGTAGGGAGCAGGTTCCAGAGGGCCTTGGAGAGATGTTCAACGGTAAAGCTTGTTCAAGAGTTTAGTCCGGGTGTAAAGTGAGTAGAGCCCACATGTTGGATCATCCCACAACATTGGGAACTTAGTGGAGCAGTCACATATAGCTATTAGGAGCTTTCATGCAATATTGCATTCCACACTCAAGATTATGAGTTGGCTATTACTTTGTTTATCTCCTAAGTGAAGAAAGAAAGACCAAAAGATTTAACTTCCTCAAGTTCCCAAAACATAAAGGAATGGGGATCCAAGCCCTTTGTTTCTTTTCCACTTCATCAGTATGCTAACCACTGAAGAAGGCCAGATGAGAGAAATATAAGGTCTGAATTAATTAGCTTGGTAGTGGGTTGGTGTTTGGTACATCTTGTTCTCATTGAGCATTTGAATCATAAGGACTGAGACTTAGGCATAGGGAGGTGTTTCAACTGGGGCATACTTTAGGGCCATCTAGGCCTGTGTCCTCCATCATTTTGTAAATAGAACATGTGAGCTACTTGCCCTAGCTTATGCACTTGGGAGTTTCGAGCCAGGCCTAGACCCCACTGATGAAGGTTTGGTAGTCCCATGTTTGGCCAGCTATAATCATTACCCTAATTTCATTGATGATGTTTTTTCATGTTCATTACAGCTGTGACTATACTAAAGTTGGGAAAGATGGTGACCCAAATTCTGTTCACTTGATGCCAGATGTGGTTTGGAGAGGCAGGACTGTGTGTAAGGAGGCTTCTCTGGTAGGAGCTAAGAGCTACTGACAAATAGATGAGTCTGGCTACAGGTTGCACATGGGGGTTAGCAAGAGGTGAGACTGGACAAGTGAACAGCGGGAAGGCCAAAGTCATTCTAGGGCCTGGATTTCTTTCTTTCTTTTTTTTTCCCCCAGAGAGAGATAGGAAACTTTAAGCAACTGAGAGACGTCACATTTGTGGCTTATGGATGTCACTATGGTTTCAGTGTGAAAGTGGATTGTGGGGAAGGACAAGGCATAGGGAGGTTACTACTGTAAGCATACAAAAAATAAGTGGAAAGGCATAGGGAGATTACTACTGTAAGCAGACAAAAAATAAGTGGAAAATAAATATGGAAAGAAGAGCCAAATTTGGTCAATATATGGGAGATAGAGTTGATGGGTCTTTGTGAGAGGATGTGGGGTGGGCTGGGGTGAAGGAGGAGAAATTGAGGATGACTCCCAGGTTTCTGGTGGATTGTGGGAAGATTTGTTTTGGGAGTAAGACAAGGTCAGTTTTAGACTTTGGAGTCCTAATGGGCATGGAATGGGAATTATATGACACTGCAATACACTTGACTGTGGAGCCCAAGAGAGAGATGCAGGCCACAATGTAGACACGCAGGGTGCAAGAGATATGAGGAAGTGGGAGGCCAGGGTAGAAGCCCAAGAATGCAGACATCTGAAGATGAGTCTCAGGGAAGTCCAGCCTTCCTCACAGGTCCCCTCACCAATGCTGTCTGAGAGAAGACTCCCCAGTTTTTCCAGTGTAGCCAGCAGGCTGTGTCTGCTTCAGAGCACTGTTCCCAGGATGTTAATCCAAACAGTGGTGGGCAAACTTTTCTGTAAAAAGCCAGACAATCCATATCTGAGGCTGTGTGGGGCTCTGTCACAACTACTCAACTCTATGGCTGTAGAGGGAAAGCAGTCATAGACAAAATGTGATAGAATAGGTGTGAATGTGTTTCAGTAAGTCTTTATGTAAAAATTGGAAGCAGGCAACATTTGGTCATAGTTCACTGATCCCTGGCCCGGTTCTTATCCCATTATGTTTGAATTGGTTAGCTGTCTTAGTTTGTGAACTCCTTCCATGGAAAAAAAACTACATCTTGTCTGATTTTCTAAGGTCCCAGGGATGATGAGCACATTTTTAGTGCAGGGTAAATGTTCAGAAATTGCCTGCTTCCTGCTTGTTAGTTAGGGTGACAGTATTAAAACTGGACAGACTTGGGGTCAGTAGTCCCCATCATCACATGTATCAGCAGGTGAAGCAGTCTGGTTTGCCCTTGGGTTCAGCATCCTGCCTCTGTGCTCCTACCTGGAAGTGGGACTAGAGTCCAGGGCCAGGCCTGCTGCTGACAGGAGGGAAGTCAGAGATTTTTTTCTAACCACAAATTGATGGATCGTGCTCTCGAGAATCTTGTTAGTCTTTGTTGGTAAAGATTAAATGGCATATGTGAAATAATCATGGTGAAAACAATAATAATAGCAAATGTCTAGTGAACTTTTACTAAATGTCAGGTGTTAGGCTTGATGCTTCCAAAAATCAGCAACCAGGAAGGAGCACCCGAGATGTCTTTGTTTAGCAAAGGGAGTTGCTATTCAGAGAGGCTTAGTGACTTGATGACTGGCACACAGTCTGCTAGCGGGGTGGTCATATGTCCCACTTGGGGTGATTCTGGATCCCATTTTCATGGCTACTTACCACTTGTCCTGGCTACATTATGAGACTCATGAAATTGTGTGTGGGATACTTTCATAATGCACAAGTGAGATTTCAGGATATTAATATTAAATATACCCTGCTCCTGGCCTTTCTCAGCAACAGGAGGATGATTCTGGAGAAGGAGAGGATGATGCAGAGGTGCAGCAGGAATGCCTTCATAAGTTTTCTACCCGGGACTATATCATGGAGCCCTCTATCTTCAACACTCTGAAGAGGTATGCGACGACAGTGTTTGCATTGGGGAGGAGGGGCTTGTTCAAAGAATTTTCTAAAAGAACCAGATGATGACAAGTAAAATGAGAAGAATGTGGTCTTGGATTAGAATGCTTCTAGGGTCCCCTTTGCCATTTAAAAAATGTTTAAATGTAATTATCTTCCTCCTTACCTATCTGTTCATCCCCTCTCACATGTGTCTGCTCTAATGAGGTGGTGGCTCTTTTGCTTTTCTCAGGTATTTTCAGGCAGGAGGCTCTCCAGAGAATGTCATCCAGCTCTTATCTGAGAACTACACTGCTGTGGCCCAGACTGTGAACCTGCTAGCTGAGTGGCTCATTCAGACAGGTGCTGTCCTTGCTCTCACCCAACCCCACCTCTCTAATGGGCTTTTGCATCAGTATTATGCTAGTGAATCAGCAGTGCCTTGTTTGAATTCCTGATTTTTAATGTTTGTATAAGTAGGAGTTGAACTTTTTAGCCATTTTCACCTGTTTGATTCTTATGTTTAATCCAGCAGTTGAGGTTTGCAGGAGTTCCCGTTGAGCAGCTTTCTCTGCCCTGCTGTAGAGTTAAGGGATGACATGCTGTACATTTGGTGTATCATTTTCAGGAGGCCTGTTACAGCAAGCAGTGAGTGATAGGTCATTTTGGAGTTGGCTGTGGTTGTGGCTTCTGGCTCATAGGATCACAGTGGAGTCTTATTGTAGATCCACTGGGCTGCGTCTAGATGGTCACTTGAGTAAGCAGTGTCTGGAGAGAAATGGATGTGTTACTGTCGTGATTCCTTCAAGCGAGCCTCTTGGCCACATCTGCTCTCCTTCATGGGACAGCATTTCCTGTTGCCGTCCCTGTCGGTTTGGACTTTGTGAGGGTTTGAAGGTGCTATTCTCCTTTCCATTAGGCAGAGGTGGACCATGTCGTGCATGCTGCTCTGTTCCTTCTTGGGTCTTACTAGCAAGTAGAATTAATAACTTTTTAATGAGTCCAAAGTCTTGCCTTTAAAAGTGGCACAAGCAATTCTGTGTTGTTTGGTTCAGAGAGATGTGGCTGTTGGCCCTTTCTGCAAGAGTGCAGTGGCTTTAGCGAGTGCTGTTGTCTTATGTTTTCTTTCAGGTGTTGAGCCCGTGCAGGTCCAGGAAACTGTGGAAAACCACCTGAAGAGTTTATTGATCAAACATTTTGATCCCCGCAAAGCAGATTCTATTTTTACTGAAGAAGGAGAGGTGAGGAATGTTGTTCTTTGTCTGGTGGTGCATCCCAGGGCCTTTTCCTAGCTCTGTGTATGGAGTGGTGTGAGGCGTATCACGTAAGTACACGAGTTGGGTAGTGTGGTCTGAACTACTCTTTCTGCTGTGCTCAGCACGTTGAGGTGCTTCATGTGGGAGGTTTTGGTGCCAAGGCCAAGAGGAGGTGCAGCCAGTTCTCACCTCCCAATCCTCGCTGACTCCAGGCACAGCTCTGGGAGGGGGCAAATTCCTGTGGGTCCTCCAAGAAGCATGTGCTGAGACTGGATGAGACATGCAAGGAGATCATGGAGGAGATACCCCAGGTAGAAAAGTAGATGAATGCTGGAGGAGGCTGGGGGAGCTGGGATGCAGGACTGACCCTGAAGGCAAAAGGCATGAAGGAGGTTGGAAGGAAGAATCTCAGGCTGCAGTGCAGCTTTTAGGAAGTCCCAGCAGGGCCAGCGAGATGTCTCTAGAGTTTTAGTTGCTGGATATACAAGCCTGTGTCTTTTATGACAGACCTGCCTGTGAAGCCCTCTGTGCTCAAGTGGTGGCTGGGAACAGTCATGGAGAGCCTGGCCTTGACACAGACAGGATGGTGGGTTCAGAGAACAGCGTCCCCATCCGTCACACAGTAGGAGCCAAGAGATATTTTTGTGGCCACTACTTGTGGTGTTGGACAGAACCTCCTGTGCTATTTAAATTGTGTCTTCTGTCCTGCCATGGGCATGCAGCTGGTTGAGCGTGAGTCAGTCATGCATGCGATGCAGCTCCTCTGTGCACTTGCTGCCACAGGACTCTCGGATGTCTCCCAGGAAGCTCTCTTCCACTTGTGCTAATGTTGAGTGGGAACTTGTGAAAGCAGAGTGGGTGTGCAGGGGCTGTCCTGCCTCACAGCTCTGCGGCCACAACCAGCCCTGAGTCTGCTTCCTCTACAGCTGGACGCCAATGGCGGCTCTTCCAGTTGGAATGTCCTGGGGTTGTTTATGCAACAGACTTCTCTTGGGCTAATGCCAGATGTCTTACCTTGCTGTTTGTCGGCAGACCCCAGCTTGGCTTGAACAAATGATTGCACATACCACATGGAGAGATCTGTTCTACAAACTGGCTGAAGCCCATCCAGACTGTTTGATGCTTAACTTTACTGTTAAGGTAGGAAGAGTCTTAGAATCAGGGGAAAGTATGTAGGATTGAGGTTTTTGATGTCTGTTTGGTCGGTTGTCTGTGAAGACTGTTTTTGACAAAGGTCTCCATTGTTGCACTTCAGCATGCCTTACCCTGAAGAAGGGAGCATAAAATTTCTGCCTGTGGTTTTAGATCAACATTGACTATGTTTTAGGATTTAGCAGGGACATTTTATAGTGTGTGTGTTCCGAGGAGCCTTTAAGCACACCTGGCCAATCACTCCTTTTTATGCATCAAGACCTGGGAGGGCTGGGAAGTCCAGGTCACAGCCCAGATTGTGGCAAAGCAGAGACCAGAGTTAAGGTTGGGACCTGAGACCAGTGCCTGCTTGTTCTACCTGCTGCACATGCTGCCCAACAGCCCATTGCTGAAAGGTGGGTCACCAGGTGCTGACACCTACTTTTGTTTTTGTGTGGCAGCTGATTTCTGATGCGGGGTACCAAGGGGAGATCACCAGTGTGTCCACTGCCTGCCAGCAGTTGGAAGTGTTCTCCAGAGTGCTCCGTACCTCTCTAGCCACCATCTTGGATGGAGGGGAAGAAAACCTTGAAAAAAATCTCCCTGAGTTTGCTGTAAGTTCTCTACATTGTGAATCTTGGATTTGAAGCAGCTGGTTGGGGGGTTTGGGTTCCCAAACATGAAAATCCCCTTCCCTGTGGAGAATCTCCAGGTCCAAAGTCACCTGCCAGAGAGCAGGTTCCCTGCCCGAGAACTTTGGTCTGCACTTGCCAGTGCTGTGGTCTTGATACCCCCATCCTGCCTCCTGTATTCTAGAAGATGGTGTGTCACGGGGAGCACACGTACCTGTTTGCGCAGGCCATGATGTCCGTGCTGGCCCAAGAGGAGCAGGGCGGCTCTGCGGTGCGCAGGGTGGCACAGGAGGTGCAGCGCTTCGCTCAGGAGAAGTGAGGCTTCTGCTTTCCCCACCCCTCTCTGTTGCTTCCATAGAGCCCCGCGGCCCTTGTCCACAGCCATGCTTCCTGCCCCTTCTGTCCTGCTGTCTAGAGCTGGTGGTCAGGGTAGTTTTAACCTACGTGGGGAGCTTGCCTTCCAAAGTGTTGCTTTGAAGACTGTTTTGTGAGGTACTTGAGTGTACTTCTAGTTGACTCTGCTTTTATATGCTGGGATTCACAGATAGCAAATAACAGTAGTCCTAAAATAGTTATTCGGTGATTATTATATTGTAGTCTGTATCTTACAGACCAAAGTTATATCTTCCTAGCTTTATTTTTAGAGTCTTAGCAAGGTATTTAAAAAGTATGAATCTCTTTATCAAGTCTGTAAGGTGCATTAGAATCATTCTTTTCCAGTTTGCTCTAAACATTGTTTCCATGGGTGGGTCAGTTAATAAACAAGTGAATAACAAAAAAACCAAAATGGATCCTAATGGTTTAGAACATTAAATGTAAGAAAAGAATGAGAAAGAAAAATCTGCCTAACATTGTTAGTGACAGGCTATGTGGTTTTTCTGTCAAGAGGCCATGATGCCAGTCAGATCACACTGGCTTTGGGCACAGCTGCTTCCTACCCCCGGGCCTGCCAGGCCCTTGGGGCCATGCTGTCTAAAGGAGCCCTGAACCCTGCAGACATCACTGTTCTGTTTAAGATGTTCACAAGCATGGACCCACCTCCTGTTGAACTGGTAAGTTACCTCTCATTATAGCAAGGTGGGGTCCCCTCTGTGCCAGGGCAGGGTTGTTTTGGAAAGTCTCTTAAGTTTCCCTGATTCTCTTAAGGCAGTGAGTGCAAATGCCTTTTGAAACGTTGCTGTCATTTCTGTCCTTCCCCGTCCCGCTCCCAGCCTTCATGCCCATTAGACGTGCTGCCTGGAACTCTGCAGGTGGCTGCAAGTGCGCATACCCTCTCCTGCCAGACTGTGCTTGGTGTGTGCTTCTCCCCAGATCCGGGTGCCAGCCTTCCTGGACCTGTTCATGCAGTCACTCTTTAAACCGGGGGCCAGAATCAACCAGGATCACAAACACAAGTACATCCACATCTTGGCCTATGCAGCAAGTGTGGTTGAGACCTGGAAGAAGGTACTGTCAGCCTTTCAGAAGACAAGGGTCCTCCTTTGCTTGGGTATTATTGGGTAATTTGGGCTGCAACAAATTTTGAACCTGCCTAACAGAGAACATGTCTTTTCTTGTGTTTTACTGATGGTGAAAGTGCTAAACATCTCAAGAAAATGCTCCTCTTAATACTTCTTTAGACTGTAATGTGAAGTATGACTAAAAAAAGTGAAACAGGTCCCTAAGCCAGAGACAAACACGGCTCTCACTGGTTTACAGTTTCTGTACTCTGCACAACCATGAAGTTTGACAATTAAATTGACTTCTGACTTCACAGATAGGGCAGGGGATGTGGAGACAAGGCTGTGGTGCTGTCAGAATCCACCAACCTGTGTGTGTTTTCAGAATAAGCGAGTGAGCATCAATAAAGATGAGCTGAAGTCAACGTCGAAGGCTGTGGAAACTGTTCACAATTTGTGTTGCAATGAGAACAAAGGGGCCTCTGAACTCGTGGCAGAACTGAGTACACTTTATCAGTGTATTAGGTGAGCAGTGAAACTGATTGCCAAACTAAATCACTGGGGGAGGTGGCTTTTATTGTCATATTGAAAGCTCACATAACAAAAGCTGCAGAGATACTTGTGTTTTATTTTATTTTGTAAACAGATACAGAGAGCATGAATAACGTGTATAGACAGTATGAGTCATTTTCAGTTGTTTAATAGAAGTAATTTCACAAATTAAACTAAGTGAAAGGAAGACCACCTGGAATTACAAGAATGGAATTGGAAAAGTTCATTTTTGCCAGGTGCAGTGGTGCACACCTATAATCCCAGCTACTTGGGAGACTGGGGCAGGAGAATCACAAGTTTAAGCCTGTCCTGGGCAACTTAGATCCTGGCTCCAAAAAACCAAAAAATGGTTGGGGATGTAGCTCAATAGAGCCCTTGCCTAGCATTCATGAGGCTCTGGATTCAATCCTCAGGACCACAAAAAAAAAAAAAGGCTCATCTATAGCAGAAGTCTAAGACTAACTATTGCTCAGATAGAAACGAATGACCTGTGACTCTGCACTTATGTAAATAGATTTGCCCTGGAAATCATGTGTCTTCTTGGGCATTTGAATCTTTCTGTTTATCTGTATGGGAACCAAGAAAGGGGTTTGCTAACTAAGGTAAACTTGAGCCCATGTACCAGACACAGTGGTCTCTGCATCACCCACCATCTCTTCTCCATTAGCAAAGGGGTTGAATGGGCTGAGGATAGAGACCGCTTCTCACCTTGCACCTTGGAGAGGCCACCCCTTTAATAAGCAGCTCCTGGCAGCACAGATGAAGGGGCGGTCTGTGTTTGTTCTCAGGCTTCCTCCCCTTTAATGCTCTTGTTGCATATTGGTATTTTTCCCACCTTTGGTTTAAAGGAGGCATTCTGCTATGTTTACCTGTAGGTTTCCAGTGGTAGCAATGGGTGTACTGAAATGGGTGGATTGGACCGTGTCAGAACCAAGGTACTTCCAACTGCAGACTGACCATACTCCTGTGCACCTGGCATTGCTAGATGAGGTGAGAGGCAGAGGGCTGCCTGGGTGTGCAATGTCTGTGTCTTGCATGTGTGTTGTCATATGCATCTTTTTGGTGTGTTTAGTACATACTCTTCAAAATTAGCTATTTCTATCCTAAACAAGGATTTTCCTTTTAAGGACCTAGTTTCATTGACTGCATAGATGTCTCAGTTTTGTCAAGTGTCATGGGAAGGATGAGGCAGGGCTGAGGAGTTTGCTGGCCCTGGGTCCAGCACAGGACTAGCAGCAGCAGCCATGAGCTACCTGTGCTGGCAGTGACAGTGAGTGGTTCTCTGCATGGTGAGGGAGCCCTGCGACCTGACCACACTGCTCAGCAAGGCTCCCCATGACCTGTTTGTAGATCAGCACCTGCCACCAGCTCCTGCACCCCCAGGTCCTGCAATTGCTTGTTAAGCTCTTCGAGACTGAGCACTCCCAACTGGATGTGATGGAGCAGGTGAGTGGCACCGGGGCACGTGGGGACTGGGGGTGCACCCCATGCTGATCTACTCTTTTGGCCTGCTTCTCTGCAGCTTGAGCTGAAGAAGACACTGCTGGACAGGATGGTTCACCTGCTGAGTCGAGGTTATGTACTTCCTGTTGTCAGTTACATCCGAAAGTGTCTGGAGAAGCTGGACACTGACATTTCACTCATTCGCTATTTTGTCACTGAGGTCAGCAGTGCACCGTTGGTTTCGTGTTTCATGTTCTTTACACTAGCAGTGTCCTTTATGGCTTAATTTAGTTCATTTTGTACCTAGCTCTGAGAAGTGTACTTTCTGATAATCATAGTGATGACAATGACAGATAGCAATTTTGTGAGCCCTCCTACCTGCAGGAACTGTGTTACATGTTTCCCCTATGTTACCACCCTGCTGCCTTAGTGTTGGAGAATGGTGTCACCAGGGAAGCCAAAGCGGGAGGCAGGGGTAGTTTCAAGAGTGCCATTTCACCTGTGTTGGTGCGGTGCCCGTGTTGGCCAGGCAGGCAGAGTAGCCCTGTTTTCCCTCGTAGGTACTGGATGTTATCGCTCCTCCATACACCTCTGACTTTGTGCAGCTCTTCCTCCCCATCTTGGAAAATGGCAGCATTGCGGGCACCATCAAAACAGAAGGCGAACATGACCCCGTGACAGAATTTATCGGTAAGGTCTCAGTAGATCTGCTCTGGCTACATCGGTATGTGTCAGTTTGCACCTTCTGTTTCTAACCCAGTGACTGTGTGCGTCTGGTTTCAGCTCACTGCAAGTCTAACTTCATCATGGTGAACTAAGTCAAGCATCTGCAGAGCTGAAGCAGGTTTTCCAGGCTCCACTGAGGAGAGCCCTCTCAAGAAGCTGCCATTTGCAGCTCAGCCAGCACCTTGGATGTGGAATCTGCTGAGGGGTGGATGACTTCCTTAGAAGGAAAGTGTTAGCAGTGTGAGAGCCTGCTAGTGACGTCTCCTCCCCGTATGGTCAGTCCAGTGCTCAATTCCCTCCACATTGCCTCCGCATGAACCTGCTGCTGGCCCTGGGGGTGGTGGGAGTTGTGAAGTTGAGACTCTGGTGAACAACTTTTCAAGGCTGACTAAGTTTTCTCACAAGAACCCAATTGGTTAGTTGATGTTTTATTGTAATTGTTTAAATTTGCTAAGAATAATAAATTTTTAAAAAGCTTTTGTGCTGAATTATAAGGTGCAGGTCCCATGTTGGGTTCTTGTATAAATAAGGCATGCTGGGCCTTGGGTGGAACCAGATGGTTTATTCATCACTTGGACAATTTGAAATTACCACCTCCCTCCCTACACTGAATCCAAGATGATTTAAGAACTGGTAATAAGTCTGAACCATTTTACCTCTTAAATGTGGTATTAGCGACCACACTTGCTAAACACAAAATACCAAGCGCCCTGCTGAAGAAAACAGGCCCTGTGCCTTGGCAGATGGAGCCTGGAACCACCTTGTGCAGGTACTTAAGTCATCAGCGGTCAGCCCTCCTCAAGGTGCACTTAGCCAGTACCACATGGTTCTCAGGTCAACAGGTACCCTTCTAGATGTTCAGTTTGGTGACCAGTGTCCAAGATTGACAATCACCCAGTCCTGCTAACCGATCTTGCGCACAGGATCCCAACTCCCATGAACTGCTCTTCCAGAGGCATCCTCCCTAGACGATGGGGTCCCCGAATGTGCAGTACTCCTCGATGGCCAGGTTGTAGCTGGCGCCTCTCCCATCCTTGTAGGTGCTGGTCACTATCTTCATCCAGCCTCTCTCGCCCTGCGAGATGCCAAGGCCCCCACGTCAGCCCTTCAGCACATGGTCTCCTGCTCCACCCTTCTGCTCCAGACTCAGACCAGGCCCTTGGCCTCCACCCCGCAGCCCAGCCCCACAGAACAAAATACCCAGACAGCCTGCCTGGCCACCCAGCACCCTTTCCCATGACCCTTGTCAAAAATGCCTTGTATGAGATATTCACTTGGTTAATACTTAACACAAGGGCCCCCTGCCAGTAGCTAATTAATGTAACAAAACATGTTGACTGTTTAGACCAGATGACTTATCCACCTACTAATATCCCCACTTGTAGTTATTTAATAAAAAAAAAAAAAAAAAACTGATTTCATCACTTCTGTATTTACCATTTTCCTCCATAATAATGAATTTCTGTATCAAGCAATTAATGGCTAATATTAGTTTTAAAAATAAAAACTCTGGCAGTTATCACCCCCTGGATCTTTGACCCAACCTAAAAGTATTCATGAAAAACCTACAGAGTACTCCTAAGGAGAGTCTGAAACTGGCAGGAGAAAAAATGACCTGGTTGTGAAGGAGGAAGGTGGCCAACTGCATCCTTGGCAGGTGTGTCCAGCCAGGCCACTTCACTTTGGTGCCAGTTCTGGTGTCTCATACTGGGGGGCAGAAGAGGAACTGGCATCTAGTGGGTAGGGGCCCCAGGGTGCTGCTAAACATCAGACAATGCATAGAACAGGAATGGCCCTACACAAGCAAGAAGCATCTGCCCAGAGCTGTGGCTGACAGATGGCTGGAGCAAGAGGTCTAGCTGGCTGTAGGCCACAGTGCTCAGTCAGAGGTCAACAGCCACGGGTGAGAAGTGTGGCCTCATTTTCTAGGTACAACCATAAAGTGAAAACATCTCACCCAAGGTTCGCCCCAGGAATTCCGGACAATCCAGTACTCGGTCCCGTCACTGCTGACACCCCATCCGGCCACTGAGATAATGTGGTTCACATAGGCCTTGTCTTGGTACTCGGCATAGATGCCGCCAGTGTAGTTGGCCATCCCTTCTGTTGCCATTATGCCGCAGCTGAGAGCAAGCAGTGAGTTATCACCTCACCCAGAAAGAGGCTGCAGGTAGCCTGCTGCCCCAGGGGTGAATCCAGCCCGCCCCACACGGTGGTTCTGGACAGACTTGAGTTGCTGTTGCTGCGTCCTCCAGCCCCAGAACACCACAGCTGTCACCACAGCTGGGCCTCTCACCCCCTCATGTCCCACAATAATCCCATGAGGGGCAGATCAGTCACTGGTTGGGGTTTACTTCTGAGAAAACAGAAGTTCTCAAAGGTGAAAGTGGTGGCTGTAGCTCACACTAGGGAGTAAAACTGGTGGTGGGGCGGGAAGCATGATCGACACACAGGTACACAATCCTGCTGGTACACCTGGCGCAGCCTCACCTGGCGGCCTGTACTCACCTGATGGGACCATTCGTGTAGATCTCCGCCATCATCTTCTCCCTCCCTGAGAGGGAGCCGTAGTCGCCCACTCTCCAGAGGGTATAGTTCTGGATGGTGTGGCACTCTTTGAACTCCGTGCAGGTCCCACACTGGTTGAACTTGTCACACTCTGGGTGAGAGCAAGCAGTCAACCTGGGGCTCTCCTCACTGCCCAGCTAACCAGGAGGCCCAGTGCCCTGCTCATTACTAGGAACCAATCATCTCCTCTTTCTGCTATGGAAGAGCTTCAAGGAGGGCTCCACCCTCCTCGAAGGGTGGAAGGAGGGAAGAGAAGAGAGGTCAACTTTTGACTACAGAGCAGGAACTCTGGGTGGGCTTTTTCCTCTCTGTAAAGGCCAGGAGAGGCCCTTTCTACAATACTTCAGAGCTGAAATCGAGTGCAATCAAAATACTAAAACTCAACAAGATGATTCTATTGCTGGCTAGTGAATAAATATGCCATTACATATGGTTAAAAAAAAACAAAACAAAATCCCTTTCTTGTTATTTTGGTTTGAGAGATATCCACAATTAGGTTAGAAAAGAAGAATAAGAAGGTGTGCCCATGTTCCACCTCATAGGCATGATGGCCATGTTCCCTAACTCTGGGCATGTGTACTTTCACCCATCCACCCTGCCCGGTCTTCAGCCTGCCTGGCTACCACTTTGTTGTTGCCTATTTCTGTTGTGGTTACACATCTGTCCAGATCTTCTCCGGGGACAGTAAACTCTTTGAGGATTAAATTGTTGGTTTAATTTGTCCAACACCAAATGCCCAGGGCCTGGCACAACCGGAAAATGGTGGATCTGCAGCCACATTTACCAATACAAAGACAAGACTGTTTATGGCAAACACTCAGGTCTCTGATGTGCTCCAGCCACCTGTCAGGAGAGGTGGGATCAGAGCGACTTGGCCTCGGCTGGACAACACCGGCTTGGGGATGTCAGTGGGGTGGGAAGGGCCCCAGGACTATCTGATTCCACAGGGAAGTCCCCCCTGGGGTCTCTGACCCTGCTGGGTTTACTAAACCAGGACAGAAAATTCTTTGGGCAGTTTGGCCCAGGAAGCAAGGAGACAGAATCCCGCTGGCCTGGGTGGGGCTGAGTATTCCTGCCACTTCAGTGGGTACAGGACACTAGAGCCAGCGTTCACAGGGTTGGGGGACAGCATTGGGCTCCTTCCCCTTCCTTCCTCCTGCACCTGTCTCAAATGTCTTCTGAGTTTTCCAAAGCTTTCTGCTCTGGCTGTGAGGGAGATCTGGGGTCAGGTGGCTTAAACCTGCCAATTATGGATTTGGGTCCTTTGGTTTCCGAAAGGAGCAGCCTAAAAGGAATGTGTCGACTCTGGGGATTCTGGGCCAGCCTGCTCTGCTCACCCACAAAGTGCCCATTGGCTGCAGGCACATCTGGGTACACATGGCCCGGAGTACTGGGCAGGGACCAGGTTGACAGACCCACTGCTAGACCTCCTGCCTCCAGCTCTGGGTGCCAGCTTCCCTACCAGCTCTCTGTGCCCAGCTCCTGGAGAGTAGGCTCCACCCCGCACAGGGTGGAGCAGGAGCACTTGCCCTGCTCCATGCAAGGCCTATTATAAACTACCCAAATGTCACAGGTCAGAACCCATACATCACATCAGGGCCTCACCGCAGCAGAAACATGGTCTAAGGCTGGAGGCCCGGGAATTGGGAGGGTGTCCTTTGACCTCTCCCCATGCCAAGGGAGGGTCTCCACAAAAAATGATGAGTTCCATAGCTCTACTAGGTTCAAGGCAGCACTGGATGAGGTTGGCACAGGTTCTGGGAACAAGTCCTCCCCAAAGACCGGGGGTGCTGACCCTCCCCTCCCCACCACTCCAGCCACAGCATCACAAGGGTGGGATTGGCCTGGGCTTACAGTACACTCTCCCAGGGAAGAGGGACAGGGCAGCGGGGGAGTGGGCAGGGCCTACCCTGGTCCTTGGCCTGGTAGTTGTTGCAGGTTTCATCAGGGATGCCGTGCAAGTGGGCATACTCCCACACTGGCAGGTCGTTGCCCCCTTCGCAGGAGCCAGCATTGCCGCAGTCAATGACGTTCTGCACAGATAGCAGGGTGGAGGGCCATGCCCCCTTCCTCTTGATGTTGATGCGATCTGGAAGGTCAGGGTCTACTCAGCACCTGCCCTCAGCAGCACCCTCCTCACTTCCCCAGTTGGCACTGGAGGCCTAGGTCAGGCCACAGGGTGCTGCCCACCATCCTGCCTCCAAGCCCATGCTCAGGGCTCAGGCTGCATGTCTCTGGAAGGCTCGCTCCCATGCCCACCTCCTTGTGGAGGCCGCAGCTCAGCTGCAGCTCTGCAGAGGTCTGCCCTGGCCTTCTGGAGCACTGTGGTGTCTGCCTGCACCACCTGGCTGCAAGTGCCACCAGGTAAGGCCAGATCTGTCCTGTCCACACAGGTCAGCCAAGTATATCCTCAAGAAACACCTGCTGAAGGACTGAAGGGATGCCTCGGTTGCCACATGAGGCAGGCTGAGAGTCAGAAAGCCCTGTGGAGAGGGACCAAGGTGGGCACCTCCATGAGCAGGTGCAGCCCAGGGACTGAACGAGCCCCAGGGAGGGGCTGATGTAGTCCAGGGGAAGGCCAGGGGGGATCCAGACCCAAGCACATGGTGAGTCAAGGGGCCTGAGCAGCCCTGGCTGCCACAAGCCTGGGCTCACACACTGAGGGCACAACTGGGGCTGAAAAACTTGCTCCCCTTCCCAGAAGAGGACCCAGGCTACCCAATCAGGATCATCTTGCTCTCCATTCTGCAGGACTAGGTTACCACAATACTCTTTACGGCCCACCCTCCTCTCCTGCAGCCTCACCTGCCCTTCTCCTAGCTACCACGGGCTCAACAGCAGCCTCCGCCTGGCCCAAATCTCTCTTTCTTCCTTGTGCAGCTCCCCTGGGGTGCCACCTCCTCATGTCACCTTCTAGACTCCTGCTCACACTGGTCCTGGCTCCATAGGTCTACTCATTTGACCAGGCCTGGGCCTTTTAGGATCCCCCCACCCATAATCCACCGGGCTGAAAAACTCAAAAGGCAAGCTCATCCTGCCACCACCTAGCCCAAGTCTCTGTGCCCACAAATGTACCTCCTGGGCCACTGGCGAGTAGATTCCCAGCTTCCCAAAGCCCATGGGCCCAGGTTCCCTGCCTCCTTCCCTAGAACAGGACTCTTCTGCCTATAGCAGCTACCCTTCAGCGATGGGTCTGCACACACTCAGACCCTCCTTTGTCCACCAGGGGTGCCCCCATCCTTTGGGGTAGAAGCAGGTGCCCCACACTGGCTGCTGCCTCCCTTTGGCCTGTGCCTCATCTTTGGACTTCCTCCTCATCTTGGGCCATCAGTGAGGGCTCTCACACCTGCTGTGTGCAAAGCACTGTGCCCAGACCCTGTGCTGGGGGCACAGAGGAGCGAAAAGACTGAAGCTTCATCTCCCAGGGCTCACAGCACACAAGGAGGCCAGAAGCCAACAGATAAACTTGAGCAAAGTGTACAGTGTGGGGGAGGGTCCAGAAGCATGATAGCATGTATGTAGGGCGGGCCAGGGGACAGCCGGCCAAGGAGAGAGGGCAGGAGTGATGAGGAAACAGGGAGGAGAGGCGCCAGGCTCCCCCTCGACCTGAGCAGGGTGGCCTAGAGAGCTGGGCTGTAGGCTCTGGTAGTTCACAGAAGGATTTCATCTTTTACCTGAGCAAAATCATGAGAGGGTTTCAAGCTGAAGAACATGATCCACTGGGTCGAGCAAGCAGCTGTAGCAGCTGAGCCCACAGCAAGGGCGGAGGGGCCATGGTGGTATGTGGCCTCTAGGCTTTGGCATAAGTATCCCCTGCAATGGTGGAGAGGGCTGCAGGAGGATGGCACTGTGGGTGGGAGTGGTGGGCAGAGTGAGATGCTCCGAGCCATTGACTGCCTCTGGTTGGAGGTGGCAGGAATCCGAGCAAGAGGGTGTTGGGCAGTTGAAAGTGAAGGAGTCCAGGAGAAGGGCTGGACCTGGGAACTGATGCTCAGAATTTGGGGAATGAGAAGGGAAGGCTCAGTGGGAAGGCAGAGCCAGCCATGGGGTGGGGCGGCCTGTGTTCTAGGAAGGCAGTGGCCTGGGGACTACACTCTGTTCATGGCAGCTCACAACCATGGCATGAATGGGGAGTGGTGGAGACGGTAGCAGGGCCAGGGTGGCTCAGGATGAGAAGAGGAAGTGGAGGGGTGCAGATATTTATAGAGCCCAAGGAGTAGGGTGGTGGGAGGTGGAGCAGGGTCAAGGGGCTTTTCACTCATTTGTTTGAGATAGAAGAACTTCCTCAAGGGGATGAAGGATGACCTCCTGGAGAGGGACGGGTATTCTCAGTGAGAGGCTTGGACACTTGACCCCATGGAAAGAAGTCTCTGGTAGCTTCTATTTTCTCTGTGAAAGAAGGGCCATGGCCTTGATGGCCTTGATGTTAAAAGTTTAAGGAGAAGAGTGAATCAGCAATCTGCACAAAGATTCCACTGCGGAAATGTAGGGCTGATGCCTTGGCCAGGGATAGGTGCCATCTCAGAGGGGACAAACTGCCTCTAGCCATCCCATCTCCTCCTTGCCCTGCAATGTCCTACAAATGTGTATCCTGTCACATGACCTCTCACTGGCAACCTTTCTAGTTCTCTCTCCCCCGACTCCACCCTGTGCTCTGCAGAGAAGTCCCTTTCACTTCCCCAAAGCTGGCTGCCATTACTGGGTGCTCTCCTGGACTTTATCCGGATCCTCTGCCTCCAGATTTGCTAAAACCAACCAGCCTGGCCCATGCCTCTCAGATCCTTCAGGGTTTAAGGCCTTGGCTCTACCTAAGTCAGAGGGAGGGACCTTGGCCCACCTGCTCCCTTCCTCCTCTTCCTTGAAGGGTCAGAAATATGTTCCAGCCTCCAGAGGGCTCCTTACCAGTTCCCAAACAGAAACAGGGCTGGACCACCAAGGGAGTCTCTGCTAGATGCCACAGCTATAGCCAGTGGGCTCTGGAGTCCAGACCTTACCCCCAGATGAGTTTCTAGGTCAAATCCCAGCTGTCACTATGGACATCTTCTGCAGCTTCCTCCTTGTCAAACAGAGCCATCATGGCTGCTAGGAGGCTTAAAGAAGATACTCCACATGAGGCCTGACCCCAGCTTCCTAAGTAGCAGTGGCCACAATGTCGCTAACCCTTTCAACACAAGCCACACCTACAACAGGCCTGGCCAAAGAGATAGCAAACAGGGAGGAGACAGCACCTAGCCATTGCCGTCAACTCCCAGCCAGGGTGAGGGCCTGCCCCAGTGGAATCCAGGTTCCTGGAACTCAGGCTGCAGGGCAAGGCCCCTCCCAAATGCCCCAGGCACACCTGGGCTTCCCTGCTTTTGCCCCCTCTCCCAGGCCAGGGTGTAGCGGCCCTCAGGATGGTGGACACCAAGATTCCATCTCCCTCCTTGCCCTGGACCTTCCTTGTCCACCCAGTAGCCAGAAGGCTGGCTGGAAGCAGTGACCAGATCAGGGCAGGGGCTCTAGCCATACTCAATATTTCAACCACAGGACATTTTTCATCTCAAATATTAACTGCTTCTGAGCACAGTTTCACTTCCATGTCCCCAAGGCCAGGCTGGGAGCTTGGTGATGTCGCATTTCTGGTTCCTTCTCAATGGCTGAGCCATTTGTCACTGAGCTTCGGTCCCACTCCTGCCTGTACCTAGAGGCCTCAAGTGGGCCCATAGTGGATTCCCACAGAATGACCCAGCTTGTGTCACTTTGGTAGAGGGCAAAGGTCCAGACTGATTCCTGGCTCTGAATCATAGGCCTCTGGAACCTTGGGCTGTGGCTGCCTGTGCCGACTAGGAGGCAGCCTGGATAGGTGCTCCTGGCCCTTAATCAAGTGGCAGCTACCGTCTGCCAGGACCATCATGGAACCCTAGGCCCCAGACCACCTACCTGCCATGGCACTGGTGCTGCCATGGGCCCAGCAGGAGCCACAGTACTGGGGGATGTGCTGGTTCCTGGTGACACTGGCATAGTTGACACCATTCACATTGCGCCAGTCCCAGTTCTTGGGGAGATCAGATGGAGACAGGTACTCATGCGGCCGGGGGTATGTCCTGGGAAGAGAGCAAGTGAGTACCAGGGCTCCTGGGGTAGCTGGGAGCCCACCAGGGGCCACTACTGGCCGTCCTCCTGGGGCCCTCTCCCCTTTCCCAAAATGTGGGAGTGAGAGTGGAGGGCCTGGTCACCAGGGAAACCCATCATAGGCCAGCAGGCCCCAGCACCCTTGGAATGTGAGGGCAGCAGGCTACCCTCAAAACTAAGGGAAGGGGAGGGCTCCCCAAGAAACACCAAGTGCTGGGGCAAGACACAAAGGCCAGGAGGGGCTCCAGCTGGGTGTGATCCCCCAAAAGGGCAGATGTGATCTCCCAAAGCCTAAGTAGGCAGGGCACCTTGGTTCCTAGAACCCCAGGGAAGCAGGCCCCCCACTGGCGAGCGCACCCAGGCGCAGGAATGGGCCTCCCCTCCCCCAGGCACGGCCTCGAGCCCACCTGCGTCCCAGCTGCGACAGCTGGTCTCCCCGCAGTGGCCGGTAGCAGGTCTGGCCTGGGCGGAAGTAGAGGCTGGCCCGCACCGCGCCGGCCAGCAGCACGAGCACCAGCAGTGGCTGCACCAGGCCACACGACGCCATGCTGCCCTCCGCGCCCTGCGCTGCTCCCTCGACCCGCGCCGGGCTCCGGGACCCACGCTCTCCGCCCGCCCCGCCCGGCCCTTAAGGTGGCGCGGCGGCGGACACACCCCCGGGGCGGGGCTGTCCCGCCGCTGCTGTCCCGCCCCGCCCCACCGCGGAGCCGCGGGCAGAGCCTCCCTTCCTGGCCCCGGTCACCTGAACTCGGGGGTCATGTACCAGGTCACGAAGCCAGACCTCAGACCTGACCTAGCCACCTACGACAGCGTAGTCAAGTGGCTTCAACTGAGCGCGCTATTGTCAAACAACTCACTTCTGGGGTCCTGGTACCTTGGGGTGGGGACTGCAACTTTGATAGTCAGCCGAGTCCAGGATTCCTGGGACCAGGGATCTGGATAGATGCCCCCAGCATCCCAATTAGGCCATCGCTCCATAGGGATGTCCCCAGGTCCTGGGAAGAGGCCGCCTTTCCTACACAATCATGTCCTGATCTGGCTTTCTGAACTCCCTTTCCCAGAGACCCACTGCCTTTCTGGGGAGATGATTATCTCTCACAGAGAAGGAAAGGCCAGAGCCTTCTAGAGCATGCCCCTAAAGGAAAATTTCACTAGGCACATAAATCACGAGTTCTGCATTCCGGCTTCCAAGGATGCTTGGAAAGGTTTCCTGCTAACCAAGTCCTCCACAGACCAATGAGGAACAGAAAGCAGAAGTGGGACGCACAGGACTCCTTTCTTAATTGAAGAGTTTTTCCCTCCCGCCTACTCTCCGTGGGCGGTGATGACCCTCAGCAAGTCACAAAATGGCCTTCTCCATTTGGTAGGAGAAAGGCCCAGGCATTTTGTTCCAGGCCTTGATATGAGGTTCCTGGTACAGGGTCCTCAGAAGAGCTCTTCAACCTTTCCCACACTCCTGACACGCCAGCCCTCCTCTGCCTATGTCTAGTGGGAATCAAGAATGGTCATGGCTGCCTCCTGGCCTGCTGGCTGCTTTCAGGACCTCACCTGGAAACACCAACAGGACTGGAAAGCCTGCTGGCCACCTCCTGTCAGAGACAAGGGCCAGGCAGAACTTAAAAGCCCTCAATTTCTGGCCTAGTTCCTGAAAAGTGGTCACTGAGAAAGAGTGTGGACATGGGGCTCTGTTAGGTCTTGTCTGCTTGAGAAGTCACAGTAATGAGCCAGTTGTGAAGCGGTGGGTGGGTGAGGCTCTTTCAAGGTCCCAGGAGAAACTCTCCAGTTTGAACTGGAAAGTAGGTGAACTTACTTTCTGCCTCCCCAGGTCAGTTCTCCCCAGCAGGAGCACTGGGTTTGGCCTCTATGCCCTCTGGGTATATGAGGAGGGGGAAGGGAGTGTGCTTCTCTTGCCTTGATGACTGAAGAGAACTGGGTGATTCACAGGAGGAAGAGGGCTGGGCTCTGTTGGTCCTGCAGTGTCCTCCAGGAGGGGTCTGCTGGAGTGGTGGGCTCTTTGTTTCCTCTAGAGAAAGAGCTTGAGGCTGGGAATGTAGAACCTGAACTCGACATTCTTGAGGCCCGGAGTTCAATCGCTAGCAACACAACATGCAACACACACACACACACACAAAGGAAAGAGGGAAGGGAGGGAAAGTTAGGGAAAAGGAAGAGGGAAGGAGAGAAGAGGAAAGAAAAGAAAGAAGAGCTTAAAAACTCACTGTTACTAGGGTAACAGGGGTGGTGGGGACCCATCCAGACCTAGACTGTAGGATCAAATGCTAGAGTCCACACATTCTACAACACAGAAAACAGGAGGCTCCTGATGAAAACACTTACTCCGGACTTAGCCTCTGCCACCTGGGCTGTGACACCAAGAGCCCTCACCCCTAACACTGCTTGGAAACACATTCAAGTTACAAGCCTTTCCATTTGTATGGCATTGAGAAGTCCGGGATGCTCCAAGGACTGTCAGGGCCTACAACATGGACATGTGACCCCAGCAGTCACACAGAGCCCCCAGCTCAGAAGGGCCCCACATCAGGTGCAATGGGGTGAGGGAACCACCAAACTAGGTTCACTTTTCTCTGGGCCGGGTAAACAATGCAGCAGCCTGTGATAGCAGTGTTACCTGCCTGCCTACCCTGCGGTGGGGTCTGGCCTCTGCGTTCTCCCTCCTGCACCCTAAGGCTAAGTCACAAGGCGTCATTTATCTGAGGAATCTCAGTGCTGGTAAGGGAAGGACATTTTCAGGCTGTAAGGAACAGGACATTCAACACTGACAAGTTGTGACCTGGTGGAGTTTCCCAAATAGAGAACTCAGTGATAGGAGGGCAGCCCAGGAGAGTAGGGCAGGGAGTCCCCACACTGAATCTGTGATTCTTCAGGCCAAGAGGAAGGAAGTGAGACTTGCTGTGACTCCCTCAATGTCTGCTTTGTCAGCCCCTTGTGACAGGCCAGTCACAGCAAAGCCCAGAACATCAAGACTCTTCCCCTCCAAGCTCAGCTCTGACTGGTAAATGCATGTCCACCTTCCTGCTCTGAGCAGCTGATTGACCACTGGGCCTTGGGTGGTCCTTTCAGCGAGGTTCCCAAGACTGCTCTGTTGTGGGGCAGCCACCAACCCATCGACTCAAATTTTGGTGTAGCTATTAGTGAAGGGTCTCAGTTCTCCGGAGGACACACGGATGAAGTGAGAAGGTCATTGGGACCAAGGTGGAGGAGGGCCATACTTAGAGAACCTGCTGGACAGGGCCTGTGGCTGCATTTATCCTTCCTGGAGGTTGAGTTGATGTCTAGGGCTCTCTCTCCCTTTAGGGCAGACTCACCTGCCTGGCAGCCTGGGGACTCCTGGAAATCTGAAAGGTGTGTTCTCACCTGACACCACTCAGGTGCCACTGAGGTTGCTTTGTGGATTGTGACTCATCTCATTTGGGTTGGAAGTGAGGAGGCCCAGGGCAGGGCTGTCACTCTGTACCCAGGAGGCCTGGCTTGCCTAAGCATTACTTCCAGCAGCCGTTCAGACGAGGCTGTTGTGCACTCTGCCTGCAGCTTAGCCTCTGCCAACAGACACTCAGGAGCTAGGTGTCTCCCAGAAACCACTATAAAGTTCTTTGCCTGAGAAACTGGCCACCTGCCCTGGATTTTTCTTTTCAGAGGTACCTGAGTCATTCTTGCTCCCAGCGGAGCTTAAGAGTAGAGGGCGGGGCCAATTCAGATATTCTGGAGGACTCTGCAATCATCTTTAGGCTTTGGTACAACCCTGTGTGTGTATGTGTGGTGGCCACAGGGAGTGGGGGCAGTAAGATGCTATTGCTCCATTTCACAGGTGGGAAGACTGAGCCTTTAGCGAGGTCAAAGGCCTACATTTAGCATGAGGTCTTAGGTACGGATTTGAATGTAGACTTGTTTTTTAAATATCCCATCAAGTTTTCTGGCAAACATGATCAGCAAGGCCAGACACAAAAGTCTATTCATTTCTAAAAATAAAGTTGATTTACCCCTCATCCTCAAAAAGAACAACACATGCATTTCATACGTAGGCCAGATCTAGCCCACCTTCAAGCCTAAGGAGGAGGATACAGATGAGTCTTAGTTCACTGTGGAGAGGCCTCAACATCTTTCTTCCCCTCTTCCTTTGCGCTCTGTTGTCTGGCTCCCACCAGCAGGCTGCAGACATTTCCTATTATTCCACATTCCTGAGTAGAGCCACATCCTGGATACGGCATTTGTTTTGATGGCTGCTGACAATGTTTGGTGGCCAGCTGGTTTTGCAGGGCATGATGGCTTCCTCACCAGCGCCTCTTCACTCCTCGGTCCCTGGCCAGAGCCTCAGGCCAGCTCCTAGACTCCTAGGAGGTGAAGGCCTTCTTGTGAACCTTCTGGATCCTGCCACCATCCCTGGGCACATGGTGCATCATGCCCTGGCCTGGTTGCACAGTGACCTGCTACACGCACACATGTGCCTGGAGTGGGGGTAGCTCCTTAGGGTCCCATTCATGAGGTGGGCCTTGTCATCATCACTGCTGGAACATGGCACCTGCAGCCTGGCATGGATGTGTGTGGCCCACTTACCTGTGAACTGTAATTCACCCGGTAGAATTTGTTTGCCCTCTAAAGTTGGACTGTCGGCATGAATTTGTTGAGCATCTAGCATGTGTCAGACTTCTGTTTTCAGCTGTGGGATGCAGCAGTGAACAGGTCTCTGCCTGTGAGCAGCTTGCATTCTGCAGAGGGAGCAGGCAGAGGAGCTTGAAGAGTAGAAAGTACTTGGAAGTTGAGAAAACGGAGAATCCTAGTGACTGGGGCCTCTGGGGAGTTTGCTCTGGGATTGTTCTCTAGGTATCCTATGAGTTGGGATTGAATCATGAGGCCATAGCCATGGAATGAGCTGGAAGGATACTTCTTATGTAGAGGGAAGAGTACATAAGCAGACCTTGGCATGTGAACATGTCTGGCAGATGTGATGACCCAGAGTCAGCTCATGGGGAGTCTCAGGAGGGTTGTCAGACAGCAGGCTGCAGGGATGGCAGCTGCTTCCCCTGGTGCATGGGTGCCAGACCTCTATTACCTGGCTGGGCCTTCACCCCTCTCTCTTGCTCCCTCGTCCGTTCCTCGCCTGTTCCTCATCCGTCTCCTGGCTCAGATGTTTTCAAATCTCTGTCTCATGTGAAGGAACACATCGCCATATACAAGGTTTGGGTTGTCACTAGTTTCAGGGGGGCTTGTTGGGCTCTGGTGGCTGTGGGAAGGACAGCTTGGAAGGAGGCTAATTAGTGTGGCTATAGAGGGGACAGCCAATGTCCATGAAGCCATAGTATTGCTGAAGAGGTGAGACCAAGGGCAGGATGCAGCCCAGAGGTGAGGTGAAGCCTGCCAGGAGCATCGAGGCTGCATGGCTGCCTGACTGGAGGCCATCTGGCCAGACTGCCTCCTGATGCCTCAAATTGACACCTCAGATTTGTCCCCCTGGATAAAGAGGTCTGAAGACTTGTCATCTGTGGTTGGCTCTGCCACATTAGCCTGAGGTTTTGGCAAGTCAGTTCCCTTCCTGGGTCTCTGTCTCTGTCTCTATCTCTGTGGTGGTAGTGATAATGGTGATGATGGGGTGGTGGTGGTGATGGTGGTGGTAGTGATAGTGATGATGATGTGATGTGGTGGTAGTGGTGATAATAGTGGTGGTGGTGTGCAGGCCAAACATGGGACAGATGGTGGCAGAGAAGTGCATGAAGTCCAGCAGGATGGAAAGCAAGTGCTCTTATCACCCTCCAAACCCCTGGAGGGCCAGGCCCACACTTTGTGCTTTTCTAAGGAACATCAAGTCTCCCAAACAGCACTCTGCTAATATTTGCTTGACAAATGAATGAATTTCTGAGACTCACACAATAGACTTCTTGGACCCATGGAGCTTGCAGAATTATATATTTTTGTTTGATTTTGACTCCAGGTGCTCACAGGTATTATACTGATCTCTGTTGACACCACAGAACATTGCTTTTCAGTAGTTGCACATCTTGGGAGATGGGAAAGAGATAATTGAGAGGGTCCATATGTTTGTCATCTTTGGGGTACAGCAGTTCAAAGGAAGTGGTGCATTGTGTGTGTGGTGGGTCGTGTCTTCTCCTGTAAGTCAGAGTTGCACAGCTCAGGAGGCTGGTTTTCAAGCTGCCTAAGAGACAGCCAAGCATTTCCACAGTCTGGGGCTGCAGGATGGGCTGGGAAGATGAGTGGCCCAGTGAGCCCTGTGTGGTGTGGGCACCACAGACATTTCAGCTGGACAAAGAGGTGGAGGACTTCTCCATGGAGCTGAGTAGCCTGGCTTAGCCCTGTCCTCTTGAAGTTACTTATTCATCCTCCTAGAACTTTCTTTTTTCAGGAAGAGAACACACATGGAGGCAGAGTGCAACAAAGTAGAGCTCAGCTCATCTAGGGGGCTGCCCACACCCGCTGAGTCACTCATAATGGCCCCTCAGATGTCATTTTCTTGCTAAGACATTTGGAAAAATTTCTGCTTCTGAATCACAAGCAAACACTATAATTCAACAGTCTTCTCTGAGTTATTCAAGGAACTTCAATGCACTCAGAAGTAGAAGATCAAGGTGGGTGAACTCAATGAATTCTCTGAGTACTCTGTTTTTCTCCTAATTATATTTCCTTTGCCAAGTAGAGGATGCACCATCTGACCCCTGGGGACATCTTCTAGGGGAAGTCTGGAAGGGGCTGATGGGGGTTTCTGGGTGACACTTGGTTTTTCTTATCTTCATAGTTCTATTCCCATAATAGAACCAAGTGTCATCTAGGAAGAGGCCAATCTTCTTGTGGAGGCCGATTGCAGTAGCCCGCGGGAGGAGACGTGTCCAGGGCATGTGCGGCTGGCCCTGGCTTGCAGGTTTCTTGGCTTCTGCTTCTGAGTCACGTGCAAACACTGTAATTCAGCAACCCAGGTATGCATGGTGCCCGGCATGTGTGTGTGGAGCTCTGCCCCGGCCCTCTGCCTTGTGGGCAATGCCTGGGGAAGCTCTGCTCTTGAGCAGTCAGTGCTACCCTGTCTTGGTTGTGGCCAGAAAACATCTGGGGGCAGAAAACAGTGGTGTCATTCATCAGAGATGGCCTGTTCTCATTATTTGACATAATTCAGGGCTGGGTGTCAGGTGCCTTCAGCCTGGCAGGGGAGCAGGCCTCGGGGGGATGTGTCCTGGAAAGGACTACTCCTCTGGGGCTGGGGTAAGGCACTAGGTAGTCACCACTTCGCTGGCTTGCAGCAGACTGGCAGTCACAGGAGGGCTCCTTCCTCAGGAGAACAGGTACCTTCACAAGAAGGGCAGAGGCAGGATGACTGCCTCACAGGTGGCTGCTTTCCCTACCTCAGCTGTGCCCAGGCTTTGTCACCCTGAATGCAGGAGCCTAGCCAGGAGGCAGTCCTCCCACAGGTGTGGGATGAACAGGCCTGTCTTCAAGTGAAGCCGAGGCTGGCTTGAAGTCTGCCAGCTGCCAGGTGTGCGGGCTCAGCTAGCATGCCCGGTCCTCATAGCTGACTGTGACTCGGGGACCCTTATCTAGTTTACAGATGGAAAAACCCAGGATAAGGGAGGAGATGGGCCCCTTCAGTGGCGGAACTGGGCTTCAGCCGGGGGACCTGCCAACTTCCCCGCCCCATCCTCTCTGCAGCCCAGTGTCCAAAGCTCAGCACCAGCCGAGACTGAACAAACACTGCCCGCAATACAGGAATCAAAGCAAACAGGGCTCCTCTCTTTTCTCCCTTTTGCCAACTGCCCCATTAACAGAAAAGCTTTTTAAGCTCCCATCTGGAAACCTGGCCTTTCCCTCCCTAAGCAAACGGAGAGACCAAGAGACGGAGAGGAATGCGCCGTGGGGAGGGGTGGGCAGCACACTGGGCCCTGCGCATACAGCCAAGAGTGAACACAGGGAGATCAAAACTGCCCTCCGGCCCAGCCCAGTGGTCCCTGCAGCGAGGCGGTATGCGGCCACACAGCCCCTTTCAGCAGCTCTGCCTCAGAGGCCGTGCCCATGGCTTCCCATAATAGCTCATTGAGGGCATTCCCTTCTGATCTACTCCTGATGGCCAGGTTTCTTGGATCAGTTTATACTTCCAGCCTAGATCATCTCTTAGGGAATGGCGCGAAAAGTCCTTGGGCGCTGTGTCCCCACCGGCCATCAGAAGGCCATACTCTTGTGTAAATACATTATTGGCTCTAAGAAAAGTTGCCATTCTGAACATCACTGCTCAAACTCACCCAGCTGCCAGTGTGCACTCAACAAACATTTACTGAGGCCCTGTTATGTATCAGGCACTTTGGGGACTCAAAGGTGACATGACACCGGCAGCTCCCCGGCTGGTAGGGAGATAAGGCACGTGTCTAAGCAGTTAGCAAACAGGAGAGCCCATGGTCATCCACTGGTCATTCAGTGCTCTGGTCCTGGGCACACAGAGGGGTCTCTGGAGAAGGAGCAGCCATGAGACCCTCATGGAGCTGTTTTTGGGCTTTGGAGGGTCTGGCAGGCAGGGGAGCCCCCTGAGAGGGACGAGTGGAGTAGCCTACCACTAGGGAGGCTTGGCATGGAGGACAGGCTAGCTTCTGAGGGTACTGAACTGTGCCTCTGTGTGTATTTCTTAATTTGTCAGGAATACAGAGGAACACAGATGGGTTTCTTCCTCCTGAGTTTACACGTTCTTCTCTTTACCTCTGGGTGGTGGGTGTCTGGACCAGAAGCATCCAAGAATCATGTGGTGATTCAGATTTGAGTAGAAAGAAATCTGAACCATACAGTCATGTTGCAAAAGTGCAAACTTTATACCTTGAAGAAATTCACCTTGCCACCCTTGCTTTCCTGTGATCTCCAGGTTGAGGGCTTTATTACTGGGTCTGTGTTAGAGTGAGTTGCTGGCAGTGTCACGACCTGACCTTCAAGTGGTCCGCACTGTGGTCCCTCCTGGAAAGCACTCCCACACACACACCCACTGTGCTGTGGTCAGAGTCACAGGACAGAAGGTGGGCGCAATATCATCCAGTAGTCAAGTCTGTGTCTGAATTTTGACAAGAGTCCTCAGAGTGGCCTTTGCCCTTCTGTGGGATGAAGCCAGGACCCATGGTGCTCTTAATGGACACTCTAAATCAATCTGGAGGACCACATGCTGGACCTGGCATGCTCAGATCAAATCCCCTGCTGCAGGTCTGGGCTGCTCCTCAGGTTCGGAGCCCAGATCCTTCTATGCCTGGATTAACCTCCTTTGAGAGTGAGAGGCTACTGCTCTTAGACTCCCTTATTGGTCACCTCCCTGTGTGGGCTCCTACCTGCACCTTGAGGCCCACGAGGCCTATGGGACATACACAGAGTACAGGGCTCAGGCTAGACACAGGGCAAAGGATGCACAGCTCCTGTATGGGCCCCTGAGAGCAAGTACTCCAGGTTTGGGCTCTGGTAAGGTCACTGATCTGGTTGGGACATGGAGGGACAGCCTCATGGACTTCTTACTTTGAATCCAATGTCACGTAGTCCTGTGGGATGTTTTCCCAGGTCCTGTCATAGCACGGGGTTGTAAGGACCAAGGACTGGAAAGGGGCTGGGAGGACAGCTGGGGTCAGATTGGGAAAGGCCTGGAGGCCAAGCAGTGGCTCTGAACTTTCTCTCTCAATGGAGTTTTCTTGAGCTTCTAAGACCCACGTGTCACCTTCCAATGGTGGTCAAGTTCATCATCATTTTACTACATAAGTACTAATTATTTTTTCCATTAACAATAAAATTCAAAACTTAAATAATAAAAACCATCCCCCCACATTCCCTCAGATATTACCACATACCACAAGTGGTTTTCAAATCACTCCCTGGGAAATTCAGCCAAAGACGAGGTCAAGTGTTGAGTTCAGACAACTGATAACTTGCACAGGCAAGACCCTGTGCAGGTGGTCCCAGCCACCGCAGCAAGCTGGGAGCCTTGGCTATCATCATGCTCAGGCATCAGAGCTGGCACCAGTGCCCAGGCGCCACCAGGGCAAGGCCTGTGAGGTGCAGTTCAGGCACCACACAGAGGTGGCCCCCCATCTTGCACTCCTGCTCTGGGAAATGACTGGGCAATATTCTGTCAGGAAAGGAAGGACAACCCATCTGGAAGGTTGATAGGCAAAGAGCTGAGAGGGTTAGGGCTGGGCTGTGGACTGGACACACCCCTGGGCCAACTGCAAGGGTGGTCTGAAAGCTGGTCTCATCCCTGCAATGACCAAAGTCACAGCCGGCTCTCGCTGGTGAACAGTGGGTCTCCTGGAGTCTGAGCATTCCAAGAAGAGCTGATCCTTGGGTTCAAAGCAAGGATGCGGGAAATCGTGCACATTCAAATCGGCCAGTGTGGCAACCAGATTGGAGCCAAGGTAGGTAAAGGCTGACTGCTGACCAGGTCCCCCAGACCCATAAATACCCCAGCTGGCAGGGAGACAGTGTCCTTGCAGATGCAGGCACTTGCTGAGGATTTGGTTTATTAAACAGATCTTTAGTTACAGAGACACAGAAACTATTAAAGGCTGAGAGGATTAGTTTAACTAATGCTAATTTGGTCCACAATTTCATGTATGTAATTCCCGTCAGTCATTTCATTTATATATTTTTTTCTTTTGGTATTGGGGACTAGACACACTGAGCTACATCCCAGCCCCCTATCTTTTTGTTTGAGACAGGGTCTTACCAAGTTACTGAGTGCCTTGCTAAGTTGCTGAGACCCTTAAAACTTGGAATCCTCTTGCCTCAGCCTCCTGAGTTGTAAGGATTATAGGTATGACCACCACCATTTTACTTTTATCATCTTATTATTTCTAACAACAGTAATTTGTCTCAAATGAGGATTTTGAAATTTGTTGGGAAGTTTTTTAGACCTTATTGTTACAGTGTCTTTTCCCTCCCCTCCCATGTTCATGCTATTAGAAAAAATTGTTTTATTTAGTATGCAACAGGAAATTAAAGAGGTAAACCCAAAATAAAGTTTTTGTGTATAGTGGAAGAAATAATTAAAATACTTTCTTTGAGGTATGAGATATTTTATCATACCTAAAAGCTTTTTAACCCTCTTCCTTTTTGAGATTGCATAATATTCCATGATATAGATAGATCACATTTTGTCTATATATTCATCCATTAGTGAACACTTGGATTATTTCTCCTCTGCTCCTTCTGCTTAAATTTCTCTACAAAATACCTGATTCATTTGGCTAAAACCAAAAAGACAGGTGTTTCAGCTCAAGATCTCCAATCCTCATTGTAGTATAAACAACTGGACTCTGCAACACCCAGATAACTTGTTCTCTTTGTTATTTTGAAATCACTTCTACCAGGTGCACACCTATAATCCCAGCATTTTAGGAGGCTGAAGTAGGATTGAAAGTTTGAGGACACCCTTGGTAGCTTAGTAAGACCCTGTCTCAAAAGAAAGCCCCAAAGGACTGGGGTATAGCTCAGTGGTAGAGGGGTAGTCTAGCATATGTGAGGCCCTATGTTCAATCCCTAGTAGTCCAAAAAGAAAACTACTTTTACTAGAATGAATTGCATTAAAAGTAAGATTTTAAAACACTTCCATTAGGAGGTCTTACTTTTTACAGAGCAGCATTTCTCACAATAGCCAAAAGGCAGAAATAATCCAAATGTTCACTGATGGATGAATGTATAGATGAAATGTAGTCTATCCATATCATGGAATATTATGCAGTCTCAAAAAGTAAGAGGGTTAAAAGCTTTTAGGTAAAATACACATCCCACAAAGTGAACAGTTAAGAAAACAATTCCTGGTACAGTTCTGTAGTATTAAGTATCTTCATATTATTGTGTATCCAAACTCCAAAATGTTTTTCATTTTATAGAACTGAAACTCTGTCCCTATTAAACACTAACTCTGTTCCTATTAAACCCATTTCCCTCCAGGCTCCGGGAGCCAATGTTCTACTTTCTGCCTCTGTGAATCTGACCACTCTTATTTAGATGGAACCATCTAGTATTCGTCCTTTCGTGACTGGCTTATTTCACGCAGCATCAACATGCTCAATCTTTACCAGTTTTGATCATCATCTCTCCATGGGCTGACCCTCGGGTTGTCCCACCTCTTAGCTATTTTGAGAAAGGTTGCTATGAATTCAGGTCTGTAAGTGCAGGTCTTTTAAACTGAGGGCAGGGAATTTTACAGCTGGAATACTAGTTATGGTCCTTCCATGCCACAGTGACAAGACATTCATAGCTAACACAGAAATGGGGTGCCCCCTGCTCTGACATTGCAAGATAACATGGAGAGAGGCCCTGGAGAGGAAGTGCATGGTGGAGATAGGGTAAGCTCTTGGCCTGGGTGGTGCTGCCCAGTGGTTAGAATCCAACAGTGACTTCTTACTTGGGGCTGTAAAGACTTTAAGACACATTCAATTGTGGTGTCTCAGAACTTCAGTGTATTCACTCTTTCACTCCCAGGACCATGACATAATTTACTATAAAATAGAGCCTATTTAATTTTTATTTATAGCCTATTTTAAGACCATGACTGGAGTCAAGGTGTCATTTACAAACTTAGTTGGGAAAACACCCTTGAGGAGGTCTTGACAAATGAGTATGTTTTGATTGCACTTTAACACATGCTTTTCCAGGTCATCAAAGGGGCCACCTAGTAATGGCTTCCATATTGAGAACAGGGTATGTAGCTACATCGACAAATACTATACATGTGATTGGAAGGGCAGAATGATCCATAGCTGCAAGACAACAGCTAATGCATAATTTTGAATCACATGCATGCCTGATCATCAAAAATGCATATTACTTAAAATTGTGCACAAGGTCCTGGTTATGCACTTTTGGGAAAACTTCATGAAAGAAATCTCCAAAGTGAAATGAGATATTATTGTGAAATTTGATAAGAATTCAGTTCATTTTCACTTAATGGAATCCACACTTGAGTAACTCAGAGCACTACAAGGTGAAAGTAGAGACATGTTGTCTGATGTGAAATTATGAAGCAATGTGTCCAACAGCCTGGATTTATTTATTTATTTATTTATTTATGGTACCGGGGATTGAACCCAGCGATGCTTAACCGTTGAGCCACATCCCCAGTCCTTTTTTTTTTAAAGAGAGAGTTTTTTTTTTTTTTTTAGAGAGAGAGAGAGAGAGAGAGAGAGATTTTTAATATTTATTTTTTTTTAGTTTTCAGCAGGCACAACATCTTTGTCTGTATGTGGTGCTGAGGATGGAGCCCGGGCCGCACGCATGCCAGGCGAGCGAGCTACCGCTTGAGCCACATCCCCAGCCCATCCTTTTTGTTTTTTAATATAATTTTTTTAATTGTAGTTGGATAACTTTATTTTGTTTATTTATTTTTATGTGGTGCTGAGGATTGAACCCAGTGCCTCACAGGTGTGAGGCAAGTGCTCTACTGCTGAGCCACAACCCCAGCCTCATCCCCTTTCCTTTTTATTTATTTATTTTTGAGACAGGGTCTTGCTAAGTTGCGAGGTGGGCTTTGAACATATTGTTCTCCTGCCTCAGCCTCTGCAATTTCAGGTGTGGCCACCACGCCTAGCAATAGCCTGAATTTAATAGAACAATCCAATTTAGTATTTTATGTGTTTGATATTTTACTGCAGGAGTTCAAGATGGCATAAAATTCAAAAATATTCATATTTATACTTAGTACAGGCAAAAACCAAGAAATTCCCTGGTCATTTATGAATTGGTCATTTATGAAAAGGGTTAGGTTGACCAAGGGAAACAAGCCCAAGAGCTCCATTTCTTTCTGATGCCCTCTTGGCCTTCACAGATCCTTGTCTATACTGACTTAACCCTGCTCCTACTTTCAGTTCTGGGAGGTGATTGGTGAGGAACATGGGATCGACTGTGCTGGGAGTGACCTTGGGGCATCTGCTTTGCAGCTGGAAAGAATCAGCGTGTACTACAACGAAGCCTACGGTAGGGCTGGTGGGCTGCAGTTGGTGGTGGCCCAACAACCAGGAAGCAGACAGAAGAGGAGCAAAGGCTTTGGGAATCCAAGCATCAAATGAGTGTTGTCCCACCTGGAGCAGGCAGACAGGCAGGCAGCTGAATCTCCAGAGTGGGGTCCCCACCCCTGTTCAAGAGGCAGGACTGGAGAGGAACTCACCCAGACCACAAGCAGATTAAGTAGCTCCTTTCCTAAAAAGGGAAATTTACAAACAAAAATTTACAAAAATGTTGGTAAACGATAGAATCATCCAGATTGGAAGGAGCAATACAACAAACAAAGATGAGAAATGTTTTTTTTTTTTCCCTTGTTTGTGTGTGTGGGTGGGGGGGGGGGGGGGGGGGGGTATTTTACAGATATGTGTGAAATGTTTTTGGGGTGAAAGATACTACAGGAGGTACTCAAATCCTGAACTATCAAAGACCCCTTTCTAGAACACCCTTGTTTTTTGGACCAGGATTACAAGGTTTCATCTTGATGAAATATTAATTTCTAGAAAAACATCAGTTTGCTGACATCTTCCTGCTGCTTTACATAGGTAAGAAGTATGTGCCTCGAGCAGTCCTGGTGGACCTGGAACCTGGGACGATGGATAGCATCCGATCCAGCAGATTAGGAGCCCTCTTTCAACCAGACAGCTTTGTGCATGGTAGGTTTTTCTAGAAGATTCCACCGGGCAGAGATGAGGATGCCTCCTACAGGTGCCCTTTCCACACATCACGCCCCCTTCCTCTTCTTTCCAGGTAACTCTGGGGCTGGCAACAACTGGGCAAAGGGCCATTATACCGAGGGAGCCGAGCTGATCGAGAACGTCATGGATGTAGTGAGGAACGAGAGCGAGAGCTGTGACTGCCTGCAGGGCTTCCAGGTCGTCCACTCCCTGGGTGGGGGCACAGGCTCCGGCATGGGCACTCTGCTCATGAACAAGATCCGAGAGGAATACCCAGACCGGATCTTAAATGCCTTCAGCGTCATGCCATCCCCCAAAGTGTCGGACACGGTGGTGGAGCCCTACAACGCCGTGCTGTCCATCCACCAGCTGATTGAGCACGCTGATGCCTGCTTCTGCATCGACAACGAGGCACTCTACGACATCTGCTTCCGCACGCTGAAGCTGACCACGCCCACCTACGGGGACCTCAACCACCTGGTATCTTTGACCATGAGCGGCATCACCACCTCCCTGCGCTTCCCGGGCCAGCTCAATGCAGACCTGCGCAAGCTGGCTGTGAACATGGTGCCCTTCCCTCGCCTGCACTTCTTCATGCCGGGCTTTGCCCCGCTCACCGCCCAGGGCAGCCTGCAGTACCGGGCCCTCTCCGTGGCGGAGCTCACCCAGCAGATGTTTGATGCCCGCAACACCATGGCTGCCTGTGACCCACGCCGCGGCCGCTACCTGACAGTGGCCTGCATCTTCCGGGGTAAGATGTCCACAAAGGAAGTGGACCAGCAGCTGCTCTCCGTGCAGACGAGGAACAGCAGCTGTTTTGTGGAGTGGATTCCCAACAACGTCAAGGTGGCTGTCTGTGACATCCCTCCCCGGGGGCTGAACATGGCGGCCACTTTCATAGGCAACAATACAGCCATTCAAGAGCTCTTCAGCAGGGCTTCTGAGCATTTCTCAGCCATGTTCAAAAGGAGAGCTTTTGTGCATTGGTACACTAGTGAAGGGATGGACATCAACGAGTTTGGGGAAGCCGAAAGCAACGTCCATGATTTGGTGTCCGAGTACCAACAATTTCAAGATGCCAAAGCCAATCTGGAAGAAAGTGAAGAGGTGATGGAGCAGGTGGAAACGGAAGCAGAGGAGAAGGACCCTTAGCAGGGACAGATGCTGCAGGAGAGTCACTCACAGAAGTTTCTCCAAAGATTTGTTTCTCTCCTGCAGCACTTCATGGCTGCCTTACACTGTAGCCCAGCTACAGAGGGGGCTTTGGGGGTAGGAGGCTAATAGGCACTAGGGTCTCTGCCCAGTTATGCACTGTGAGTGGTTTGATAGTCAATGCACACTCTATTATCTTTCTCTTTTACTTTTCTTTCTTTCTTTCTTTTTTTTTTTTTAACAGTGAAGTGAAAACACCATAGCGTGCCTCCTTTATTTTAAAGTGTATTGAGTCTTGACTTCAGGCCTAGCCCTAGCCAGGCAACCAGACTGCACGTGTAGGTTTGCAGGAGGCCTGTGCAGTTCACTCTTAACTCTTCAGCAGCACTGTCAGGTCCTGGCATCCTAGGGCAGCCAAGACTCACCTTGGTCTCTGTCTTCCTCACTAACACTATCTGGAATCCTGCCTTCCTTGTTGCTGGCCTCCAAAAGAGGCAGGTGACCACTAGCATATGGTGATTTATAGGCTCAGGAAAGTGCCAATATCCACTAGTATACTGCATAGAGTGTATATATACCTCAACACATGAACTGGAAAGGGAAAACAGAAAAACAAGAGAGTGAAAAACACAACTAAAGCACACTGATCCTCTGATTCTGATTTCTGAATAATTAGCTTTCAAAACACACACACATCCATTTTAACTTTCTAATCAGTATTAGATTTCAGGAATTCACTAATAATTATCTTTGGCTTTCCTTTTATAGGCAATTTGGAAACATGCTTTCCAGTTTTATTCAGTAGTTGCCCTTCTCCCACAGCCCCTAAAACGCTGTGTGGCTTCTGTGCTCTCTGAGAAAGGGCACGCTGCATACTCGGCAACCACTCAAATGTAGGAATTAAGCAGAAATGGCTGCAGTGTCCTTCTTGGTTACGGAGGACATTGTCTCATTAGGGAACTTTTACAGTTCAAATTAATTTGCAGAAGTTGCCATAAATGTTTGCATAAGGACACAGCTTTAACCATCACAAGATTTTAATCTGCTCACATTACAACAGAACCAAATACACAAGAGCGTAATCAAATCATCCATAACTTCTTAATTACAGTTTACCTATTTTTGACACACCGCACTGTGGTTCCTTGCATACTGTGAAGGTCTTAATGGCCTTCTAGCATCACCACTGAGCTCTATTATGGGACCATGCATAACTGGTGATGGGAAAATACTCTGACACTGACTTTAGGAAATATTTACTTGCCGGCAACTGGGTTCCCATCTCCTGATGTGCTTTTGTTATTGGCAATAATAATGGAGCAGGTGGATGGACGAGTTGCTCATTCTGGGAAATGTCACTCTTTTCTGTGTGCATCTCGAGGAAATAACTAAAATACATACCAAGAGAAAATTAGGCCTTGCCACTGGCATCTCTCACAGCCTTCTATTTACAAAATTAAAAAAGCACAAAACAATGGTTTAAAACATTTTACTTGTGTGTGGTTTGCGAAGCACTAGATTTAGTAAGAAACTACATATATGCACTCTTTTAAGTTAATAACCTTCCCAGATGCTGAAAAGACTTGGAGCATGTGATTATGGCAGATTTACACACACACTTCCTCTGGCACTTTCTTTCTCAAATCTAAAAAGGCAATTAAATAGATGCAAGAGAAGATATGGACTTAAGATCTTTTTAAAAAAGTTCTGTTGATTTATATTATTGTAAAGACTTTTTGTTTGTTCAATAGTAATCATTAAAGTACAAAAAAAATTCAATTTTAAATGGCTAAATTCCTTTTCTTAGAGCCTAACCACCCAGACTGATTAATTTGAGTAGTTAAAAATATTTCAAAATGCATCTCACCATCCCACTCCTCTGTATGATACAAATAGATTAAAACAACAACAAACTAGAAATGAGAGAAATTTATCCCTCCTGATTTTGAAGAACTCCTTTAGTGGTTACGGTTGCTACGGCGACATTGGTTTCTCAAGAGACTGAACTAGCAGAATTATAAAATTTTAGAGCTTGTCCAATTCCTTCACTTTACACCCCAGGCCACTACAAGAGTTTATGACTGGACTCCCTCTAACATCACCCAACTGGTCTGTGAACTACCCACAATTCAGTCTGATTGGGGTCCCTACATCATTTGGTATAGTCGTCCTGCCAGTTTCCTTGCAGTCTTGGGTTTGGGGAGTTCATTTCATTATAATACTTGATGTTCAATTTTTTTTTTTTTTTAAAATCAGAAAGCGCATCAAAAAATTTTTTGCTGGACAGATTTTGTCTTTTATTCAGTTCTTTACATTCTCTCCATATTACAAGCTCTGTCCCTCAGTCTTACTTCTAAACCATCCCCTCTGCCTCCCCAGTAAATAACTGGTCTCTAATCACTAGATTTGAAATAATTTACTCCTTTGCCTATTACTTTATCTGTCTGGTATTAAAAAGGCCCGACAGCCTGTGATTCATTTATTCCTATCCTCTGTAATGGAAGATGCTTCCTGCTACCTTAACCCTGGGGACCTTGGCACTGAAGAGAGATGCTTTAACTTCCTAACAGCAGGAAGACAGGCCCTTGGCAGACTCTGGGGCCTCTCCCCTGCTGCATACCCCCTTCCACTCAATCCACTGCTCCTTTTTGCATGCTGTAGTGAGAATTCAATAAAACTATAGGTCAAGTGTCGAAGGTCATTCCCAGAAGCTGAGAACAAAGATGTTTTCATCATCTTATCCTCGGCCCTGATAAATTATCACCAGCTTCAATGCCATGGTGAGAATTGGTCCTAGGAGTGTTCCAAAATTTCCTGTTCCATTTTACTTCTCCATTCTCCAAAAGGTAAAAATTTACAGTTAATTTTGCAATGGTGTGAAGTTAGGCAAGTGTTCCAAGCTTCATAGAAAGATAAAAACCAAATTTGCAACAATTCTTTCTCACTAAATATTTAATGAATGAATGAATGAACACCACAAAACTGCTGCAGCATCATACCTCAGACCTGTAGTCAAGAATCTCAAGATTTTAATTTTAGCCTGGCCACTGGATCTCAATAAGCAGGTATTGAACAGCTTTGCCTCATTTCCTATGAGAAATGCTACTAAAATATAGACTCATTTATAAAACAATATGAAGTGCATTTTGTGATTAAATTGTAACATTAACAGTTCTGTATAGGTTTTAAGTGCACAATAAATAAATGAGTGCTACAATTTAGTGTTTGTTCTTTTAATGTATGCTTTCAGTAATTACTTTCATTTCCATTACTGGCTAAGCGGCACTTAGAGATACTTCTGTCTAGACAAAAGGATGAAGACCCTGCTTGACAACGGAGCCATTATTCTGATGTGACTATGCAATTCAAAGATTAGGGACAACAGAGCTATAATGGCAATGTCTAATTTCAATCACCAATTAATGTCATGAAAAACAGAACTTTTATTTTGCAACATTTAAAAAGTGTTTTCTGTATCTCTTTGGTCACTAAATATCACATATGCCCTTTCCCCTTATCATGTATTTGTGCAGACAGTTTCTATAAACAAAAGTTTGACAGAAACCAAAAGCCAACAATAAGAGTGAGCCATACATCAATTTATTGGCATTGTCAATTTATGAACAAGACAGTTTTTTTTTTTTCATGAAGTGAGATGATTTTAATTTGCCATAATATGTGCCCATACTTCTTCACCTTGAAAATGTAGCATTTCAAGCTTTAGTCAGGGTCTAGGAGGAAAAAAGAAAATGCAACAGTTGCCATCCAGTTCTGTATCTTTTCTTAAACATCCAACACAAATATCAGAAAGGACCTTCACATAGTGAACCGTCAATGTTTAACTGTGGCTGCAAATCCCTTTGCAGGTGCAATCCCTGGATAACTTTTAAGAGTGCAGGGCCTCACCCAACTGGCACTCCCCAATAAATAAATCTAACACTTGCCTAGGAAGAAAGGAACTACTTTGCCTTTTAAAGACATCAATATCCCTGGTGCTGATGGAGAGGGTCCTCACTGCTGAGCTGAACAGAACTTATTGACCCCAAAGACACAGCAAAGTCACAGGAGTCAGATGCAGTGTCTGGCACAGCACTACTGTATAGACTAAGTGATATTCTTAGGTCTCCTATGAACTTAGGAGATTAGACAGCCCCTAAAAAAGGACTCAATTCAAACACCACATTTCTAGACTCTTAATATCTACCAATTCAAAATGAGAATGAAAAGTGCTTAGAGGAGACAGCTCCATCAAGTGAAACTGCTTGTATCCATGAGTTGCCAAAGGGTTAATGTCTACCACACTTCTATGCTACAGTGTGTCTGCAGCTTTTTAAAAGCAAAACAAGAAAATTCAATCTGAAAAACACTGCTTTGATAATTTGCCTTATCTTTGAAATAACAGTGTCAAGAAAGTAGCTGAGAGATCAAATCACTTTTATAGTTTGGAGTACAAACGCCTGAACTTATCAACTGTACAGAACTGTCTTTTTATTGCATAAGAATGAAACTTTACATCACCAACATCTTTGCAGAACTAAAATGAACCAAACAGTCTGAAAGCATAATAAATTCAGCAAAACAGTATTCACTGCAGGGTCTTGCAGATTTTACTGCTCGGTAAAACAGCAGGACCCTTGCTGTACTCGCAGTCCTTATGTTCAGGAAATGGTGATTTGTGAGGACATTAGCAGATGTGGGGGAAATAAAAACGCAAAGAGCTGTAATTTTTCATGCTCTTGAACTGTTACATAACTCCAATAGCAATTAGAAAAGTGAGGAGTTTATCCTCCAAATTATTTGATTTTGTGCAGACAAATGAAACAGGTTTAATTAAAATAAGATGGCTTTCTACCTAAGCATTGCTAAATGAACTGAAAATCAATATGCCAATTACTTCTGCTTGTCAGGGCCCAAAAGGACATCCTTTTATCATGCCACAGTACTTCTACACCCTATATATTTTAAATTATTACTCCAATAACTAACTTTGAAATGCGCTGACTAAAAAAATGAACAGAAGCCCGAACTAGAATTAGTTTGATTTTTATGTGGCTCTAAAAATTTAAGATGCAACTCTTCTTTTAAATAAATCCATAACTTACTGATTATTCCTTTTTTACTTTCACAATTTTTATGCTGCTGCCAGAAGTCTTCTCGGCATTTGCTTTGAATTCTGCCTTCAGTGCATCCCTCACTGCTTTTGCACAGATCTGAGAGTATCGGATGTAGCTGGGAGAAAATGAGAGAAGATATGTTAATTATCAATAATCCTGCCAGACAGCTGTGTTACTGTGTTTTTGGTTTCTTTCCTAAACTTTTAATTTTGGTTTAGTCGGACATTATTGCAGAATTGGATTTAAAACTAATTTCAAAGGAAACCTCTACACACACACAAAGAGAAAGAAATGTGCCAAAAGAGCAACTGATTTTTTTTGGTTCAATGATCATGATTTTAACTTACAGTAAAAGGGGCATAAATATTAAAAAAAAAAAAAAATCCCACAACACGGGGGAAGGGGTGACACTCATGTCTTAGAACCTGTTTTTAGGAGTCAGAGTTCCAATGCTTGCTTCTACTTCTACTAACTGGGTGACTTGTAGGCTGTTTGACTTGCAAACAAACAACCAAAAATCAGACCAAAATGTTTTTGGAGGATACAACACAAATGATTTTCCCATTTTACTTAAAACCTGTTTAACTGTATTATTCTTACAAGATAAGGTATTTATAATTAACAGAGAAAAAAACTATCTTGAACCCAAACAGCTCTTTCTCTGATAAATATTTAAAGGCTTTCCTGAGAATACTAGACTGTTTCTCACAAGCCTGTCATTGAAAATATCTCCTAATCAAGGTTTCTAAATTACGAAAAGTCCTCAGAGAACACCATCAATTCTAGCAGAATATCTAAATATCTGCTCCCTGTTTGGTAGCTGGATTTCTAGCAACATCTTATTTTCCCAAAAGATGCTGGTCACTTTTCACACTTTGTTTGAAAACAGGAAGTGGATGGTGGTAGCTACTGCTCATGTCTTAGAACTTGTTTTTAGGAGTCAGAGGTAAAGAGTTCCAATTCCTGCTTCTACTCCTACTAACTGGGTGACTTGCAGGCTGCTCAGCCCTTGTCAGCTTGTTTATTCACCTGTAAAAACAATAGAATAAAAGAATAATAATACCTGCCCTGAAAGGGTCTGGGTGGTACAAAGTGTGAAAAACCTTGGATCACATAGTAGGTGGTTTAATAAATGGTTTGTTATTGTTTTTCAAGTTCATCATACTTTACTTGACCTTAGCACGTCAGGGAACTCGGGCTACTCAGTAGTTGGGGAAGTTACCACTACTCAAATCTAGCCAACTCGCAAGGTGTGTCACTAGGACCACAGGTTCCCACTGCACACGGGGCGGCAGCTGCACACTTGAACCCCCCCCCCCCCCCCAGGCCACCACTGTGCTTTGCAGGTCTGAACAACTCAGAGGGGGCTTCCACCCTTTTCCACAAGGACACCGAGGTCAAGGGGTAACACAAGAGGGCATGCTGCGGGGCTGTCCGTGTGTGCAGCCGATGCACTAGGGTGCACTGCCCGCGCCGGGCCCGCCCCCCGGCGTCCGCATCCTCCGGGGCCTGTAGGCCGGCAGCCCTTGTCCACAGCGACGCCATCTTGGCGGCGGCGCCGAGGCCCGGAGGCCGGTGGGGAGGGCCAGGCCACGCGCCGGCTACCCCCGCCGCGACTCTGGCGCCGGGCCCGTGCGCTTCCCTCCAGAGGCCCGGGCCTACCTGAGTCCAGCCTGTCGCCAGTACGCCACCATGATGTCGCGAGAGGGGGCGCGTCGGGTCGAATCGCGAAAACGCGGCAGTAGCGGCTCAGCTACGGGCGGCAGGAAGGTCAGGCCTGAGAAGCGGAAGGGGCGGGGCCAGCGGACCTGCCAATCACCGCATATAGCCCAGCCTCCGCAGCCCCACCGCGGAAGCCCCTCTGCCTTCTGGAGCCAATGAGGGCGCGCGGCCCGGGCTGCGGGTGCCAATCCCCGGGCGGGCTGACCGGCTGCGCCTGGCCCATTGGCTCCCGCGGGCGGTGGACAGCGAGACCGCGCCGAGCCCCGCCCGGGGCGCGAGGAACCGGTTGTGGTCGTAGGTACCGCGCAAAGCCGGGTGCGACCCGTTAGTTCGGTGCCGGTGTGCTGGCCTTCAAGGAGTTGCTCTTCACCTTCAACCACGAAAAACACGTTATAATCAAGAAAAACACCACAGTCCAGAGAAAGATTTTATTAATAAAAAGTTTTTAATTTCTTTCATTTTTTTATGAGATGCTCAAGAGTTCAGGAGTTGCAGTCATCAATACTTTATTTAATTCAGTCCTCTTCAATGAATTTGCTGGCTGTGATTATATTTTAACAAAATCAACAAATTATCAGCTATTTAAAAAGATGAAACTAACTGTATTGGAAAATGAAAATAGGATTTTATCATTAGATCAAAATAAAAAAAAAACCAAACGAAGGATAAAATAAAGATTTTAAAAATTTGTTTTCCATTAGGATATTACATCTTTTTTTTCAGAAAAAGTATAACAGAAATTATACAAGTCACTTTTTGTGAAACATTAATATTTAGCAATGTTTTCTTTAGCTGAAATGTTATTTCAGTTGTAAAAACCATCTCCGGTTACAAAAAAACATAATCAGAAACCTTATCGGATTTAACTTGCTTTTACAAATATCCTAAGAATTCTTTAGCTAAACAGTATTTTCAATAGAAAAACATAATTTTAAAAAGTTTGGTATCTTTCTGTCGTTTTATGTACACATATTAACTGGTCTCTTTATAGAAGGTGATCTCATTAAGCACTGTAAAATAAAGGCAAGAGCTCATCACCTTTTAACAAAATATTTTGTATGCAACAACTGCAAGTATCAAAGATATCATTTAGTGATTCAAACTGCTTGCTACAAAATATTAAACAAAATACATTTATTGGATTGTTTTTCACTTTTTCAGCCACCCTCTGGCATCAAAAATAAGGACATCCCATTAATAAAACCTGCAGTGTAATTGGCTCAGTGGTTAGTTTGGGCCACTCTGTCCCCACCTTTCATTATTCTTTTTTCTCCCCAAACGCCCCCACACCCCCACAGTGGCACCATATTATTAAAAACATTAAGTACCTGGGATTTATGCCTCACATCAAGACATCATTTGAGTAATTTCAAATGATGTACAGCTTTTCATGTAAAAAAGATGTTTTGTGGTCACAATTACCTCAAAAAGTAATTATATTCAAATAACCTGACATATCATGCCTTAGCAATTACAAAACCATGATTTTGACACATGGCAATTTATAAGTTAGGCAAATGTGAAATGCTAAAAGATGTGAACAGCTGTTCTGTTTAAGTGTTCTGTTTAAGAGTGCTGCGAAACTCAGGTAATGACTTTATTTTTTTAGTTAACATAACCAGCCCATGGTACAGCATGCTAAATCATAAAGTACAAGTCCAAGGAAGGTAATACCTTTACTAAGTTACAAAACTTTGGCAAATCAACACAGTACTCTATAATACAATATTATTTATGTTGGAGTCATATATTAGACTTAGTGATGATTTTTACTCCAAAAACATCATTTAAATACCAAATCAAAACACTGGCTTTTAGCAGAGCAAGTTATTTTATACAATTTAATGTCTTTTAAAACTACACAAATTCTTATTTTAATGAGTCAGTTCCCCCATGCAGGGTGTGCTAGTCTGTTTTAGCAAAGTGAATGTGTGTGTATGAGGAGAGGCTCTGCTTGCTTGGCTCTGGGGTTGGTCCAAAGTCAGGTACAGTTCCAATGCCTGAAAAGTGTTAAAATTCTATTTTAAGGAGACTCAATGTCAATACCTATTTCTCCGGAGTACTTTAAAAAAAAAAATTGTTAAATTTCACATAAATACTAGAACCCTAGAAATTAGTCATTTCAAGCCACAATAACCTCAGATGATCCCTTGGATTTTAAAAGTCCTGTATCTTTTTGTTTTGATCAAAAGTCACACAGCCTTACTCCAGATTATTAGAAAAAAATTCTACCTAAAATACAGTTGTACTTTTAAATAACAAATAAATACACTGTCTGCTTGGAGAGACCTGGGGATTTGATATTCTATACTGACTTTATCATTTTTCTACAAATGCCGCCGCCGCCATTGGTGTCCTTATGCTTCCTCTTGCTGAAGCCGTCAACTCTTCAATCTCAGCATTTAATTTATGTATTACCCATTCCATTGCTTCTCGGCCCTTAAAAAAAAATCCAACACATTTAGTGTTACTGAGTGATAGCAAAGGTATGTACAACAGGAAGTAACAAGGAGTGTTAAGAGCATAACTAAGCTCCAAAAGGACAGATTGTTTTTGTTCTTGCTTTCTTTTTTCAAATATTATTTACCAAATATCAAATGCCTTGAGCAACTGGCTTGACCCATAAACTGATTTTTATTTTGTATGCAAAAGATGTTCTCAAAATAATCTACAATTAAATGACAGCATGTTTTATGCATTTCATAGTCAGAGTGGTCAAACCCTTTTTCATATCTAAATTTTAGATTAAAGTCTTGTACCACACCCTGAAGGATCTGGTTCTTAACTCCGTCCTCACCCCTTCCTGCCTGGTGCTCTACAAAATTCCTTAAAGAATGGAAGGAGGAACATATCATGATTCCTTTGTCAGGGCCTATGCACACACAGTTCCTCCACCCCAGTGCTCTTCCCGGCTTATCCCACAATCCACCTCCATTCAGCGCTTGGCAGAAATATCCATCACTACACACTCTCCTGCCTGTCCTTATTCTCCCTTTCCTAAATGTGTGTTGTGAGATTCACACTGCCTTCTGCTTAACTCAGTGAGGGCAGGGACCACATTTGCTTTGCTCCCTGCTGTTATCCCCAGTCCAGCCTAGTATTCCGCCTGGCACAGAGAAAGTCTCTGAGTACCTCTGACTGCTGCATGACTATATTAAACGTGTTAAAGAACAGTGCATTATCAACTCTTTCCCAAAATTTACTTTTTTTTAAACAATGCACTCTGAATGAGAGCGATTCTTGATGGGGCAAAACTTGGTTCTTGAAGGTGATGGAAAAAACTGAACTCTTTTATATCTAAAACACATATAATATGTATGTAGTGTTAACTATATCTCATGGATTAGAAGGCAAACATCAAAGACTGATGAAGGCGATGATAATAAAGAACAGTTGTGGGACAGCAGTTAAACTGCACACAGCTACACATCATTAAGCACTTCTATGTGCTGGGCCTTAGGCCACACACGCTCCATATGTTATCTCATTTACCACATGCCAACCCTGTAAGATGGGCAATCTCCACTTCCTAGATAGGAAACTGAGGCACAGAAAAGTTCACTTGATTGCTCAAGGTTGAAAGGTTGGATAGAACCTGCCATGTAAACCCAGGCACACTAGACTCCAGAAACCTGACTGTCTGGCTTCTGACTACAAAGTGGCTGAGAGTCAGCTTACAAGGACAAATAAATTCAGCTTAAGGTCTTCTAGAAATGAACCCAGGGACATCAAGCATTGAGTAGCAGTCTACTTACTTTACTAGCATTAGAAGATATTGTGGTCGCCATCAGTCCTTCCAGGTAACTGCTAAGGCTGACTCCCTGTACAGAGATGATGGCTTCCTGAGTCAAAATAGTCCTGCCACAAAACACATGCACAGTGTGAGATGACCCAACTTGCCCTCTTTAAAAAGATTTAGTAAATTAAAAAACAAACAAACAAACAAACCCAAACTCCTTGTAAAGTATGTTGGTCAAAAATATTTTTACTTACTTTTCTGGGTCTTGAGGATGTGGTTTGTAGATAAGTCTCTCATCCACTGAAACCATATTTGTAAAGGAAATCTATAGAACAAGGGGATAAAAAGCAAATCATGGGGCTGGGGTAATTGTAGCTCAGTGGTAGAACGCTTGCCTAGCATGTGAGGGACACCAGTGCCTTGGTTCTCAGCAACACATATAAATAAGTAAAATAAAGGTTCATCAACAATTTTAAAAAATATTTAATAAAAAAGTAAATCATTTTGGAAACAAAGATTAAAAATATTTCCCAAATCAAAACACAAACCAAAATCTTACTAGCTAAATATACAAAACAATAAAAAGCCAAACACAAATAAACTTTGATATTTTTCTATGAATACAACTTAAATTTCACTGTTTGCTGTCTACTTTTTATTTTTTAAAATTAAGAAAAGTATAATAATAATATGCACATGATCCTGCATTCACTTTATTGAATGGTAGCTCCTAAAAAGAGGTGGGACCTTTAGAGCAACAAGGCTGCAAAGCTGAGCAGTGCTGACCTCAGCTCCCAAGTACTGACTTTCTGCACACATCCATCTGGTATCAACTATACAACAAAAAATTAAGCCAAACAGTTCAAAATTAAAACAAAAGAGAGCCAAGACTTACATTAGTCGATTTAAGTTCCATTGTTTTCTCTACAGGATCAACTACAGAATGTTCTTGCACATATGTTTTGGTTCTTGCTGAACCAATAAGCTAAGAAAAACATTCAGAATTAGTAATCAGAGGAGGAAGGATTTCTTACTGAGTGTATCAATATTTTATTTGATTGTATAAATGTGTTACAATAGCTTAACCCAAAATCTGTTCTGAAAAAACAGGAGGTAACAAAGGTCAGAAAGAAGAACTGTTGGAGGGCAACAATAACTCACACATTACAGATGAGACAAGACTGCTATACCCCAAAACCTTTCCTAAAGGCAGCCAGGAACCAGCCTAAGAGAGTGCATGCAATCTAAGGCATGCCACCAAAACCGCCAAGGTGAGCAAACAAAATACAGAAATCAGAAGATTTGGGGCAACACGGCATCTAGAAGAGGGAGAGCCCCAGAACCTGTCAGTATCTCCTTAAGTGTTCCATGGGAAAGGTCCCACAGCTTCATGCTCCAGATACAAAACGACCATCTTGCTGTGGAAGATCCCAGCAGCACCAGGGCTACTTCCTGCGCTTGACCCCCCAGGCCTGCTTCTTGTTCTTGTTCACTTCTGTGTCCGTGTCACCTAATGCTGTGGTTTGTATATAGGGGATGAGTATATTCCTGATGAAAAATGTATACTTAAGATTTCTGAGTAGACCTGCCTTCTGTGAAGACAGACCCTCTACAGAAAACCGGCTCCATTTGCCACATCAGTTTTCTCACACTGTGATAAAATGGCATTCTAATTTCTTGCTGCTTAAAGTGCATCACTAAAGCTACTCTTTTGTAACTGACTAGAACTGTTTCCACTGTACAGGAAGGAGTACCAGGCTATGGCACAAATATGGCAATGCTAAGTCCTAGAACACTCTCCTTAATGTGCACAGCCTATTATTAACCACAGCAACTGTCACCTAACAGTCATGACTGGACCATTATATCTACATTTTATTGGTCTCAAGTTGCTGGCAAAAGCAGAAAGAACAGAATAAACTCCTTTTAGGTTATACAGCATCAGCTGGTTCCCTTCAGAAGGTTCTATCGGGCGCCTTCATGAAGACTGTAATAATATTTCCAATTCATTATACACTCATAACTCAAGTTTATTATAATACAATTTGAACTGATGCAAAAATGATATTCAGAATCTGCTCCCACAACCTATTTGAAATTATAATGTGTTTTAGGAAACTTCTGCACTGCAGGCACACTTCTCGGGGATCGGGCACACTTACAGATTTCACGATGGAAGGCAGTCCCCACTCTGTGCTAAGAAGTCTGTGGCTGTGCAGCTTTCCAGAGGGATCTATATGCCTGTCCAGCACATCAACTCCAACCACACTCGGGTTCATAGGGTTTGGGTATTTCTGCATTGCAGCTGTTGTAACAGTTTCCCATGGGTGGCTGCCAACACAAATCCAAAATCAAACGATTAAAAATATGCATGATAATTAAACAATTTTTATAACTTATCAAATCACTCTTTATATTGGAAATCTAATTAGTTTACCTAGGGACAATTATTTTCTGAACACTGACTGAATGATGATTTTGGGAGCTTGATCTACATTTTTAATGTGAACAGAATTTGGTATTTTTCTAGAACACAGGCTATATAAATATAATTGATGTCTATAAATATCAAATTATCTACAGAGAATTAAAGTGTAGTTTCTTATCTTTTCTATTTACAATTATCCACTTTCACATGTAAATTGTTTCTAGGAAGAACCACAAATTCATAAAAAATGTATTTAAAAATTATGTTCTCAAACAAGTAGCAAAACCAGCCTCTTCCCACCCTTTTGTGGTACTGAGGATTGAACCCAGGAGTGTTCTACCACTGAGCTCCATCCCCAGCCCTTATAATTTTTTATTTTGAAACAGGGTCTTGCAAAGTGGCCCAGGTTGGCTTTGAATTTGCAATCGTGCTGCCTAAGCCTCCTGAGGAGCTGGGGATTACAGGTGTGCACTTCTAACATGCATGGCTAAAACTAGTCATTAAACCATTTATTCTTTTGTTTGACCACAATTCCATGAAGTTATAAGAGTAAAAGAACGTAGGCACTGTAAATTCTTATAGGAATTACAGAAGATCCAAAACTTTATTGATTTAATTATGAAAAATTTCTCTACGTTAATATAAAACAGTGTCCCCTCCAGTCAATATCCATTATTTTCCTCAAAGAAGTGATTCTGATTTCTGTTTTGAAAAGGTCACTCAATACTATAAAATGTTCTTCTGGCCCCCAATATGCTATTTTCTAATAATCTCTCTTAACATAATAGGCAGTTCTTATCACTTAGGACTGAAGTAGTTAACAATACCATGTCATTTGAGAACGTGCAGAGTCTTTATTTTCTTGAAAAGGCACAGGTGCTTCAGTGACTCAAAATGTGATATATATTAGCTCTTTACAAACTTCTGTGAATTAGCTACTCTAGATGTCCCTCTTACAAAAAGTCTGTGTCAACTACCATTAGTACTGAAGGTAGTCTGGACCACCTGCTTGACCGATGCCAATCCCAATCTATCTGTGCTTTAGTCTCCTTAGTTTGAAGGAAAAAGACAAGATCTGGAGATGATGTTTCAAGTCATACTTGACTGATATAAATCACCCAGCATTACTTCTTATTTTTCTAAAAGTAAAACAGGTAAAAAATTCATTTCAGAGACCTCAAGACTGAAAACTACATCTTGTTAACAGACAGGAAACCTCAACTCCATTGATTTCTCAGAACCCTGGACAATCAGTGACATGCTTTTTAATGTTTTCATTTTCTCTATAATATTGCATAAATTAAGCTCACTCTGTTTTAATCTCAAGCCTTATTCAGTAATCAATGCAGATATGTAAGTGGAACAGCTTCATAAATCTAAACAGGCCCCAGAAATGGAAGTGATATAGGCCAAGCACTCTGATTATCACCAAGGCAACTATCTAAAATGAAAATCAGATGAACACTTTCCCTGTCCATCTAGTCATATACCATGGTGAGCTGGCTTCCATGTGCTTATCTCTTCCTCCCACCCTCTCTAAAAAATTAATAACTCCATGGCTTCAGGGTGGTAATGCATTATTTGTAATTTTGCCCATCTCTGTGCTCTTAGCCAACTTGAAAACATCGATGTTGACATAGCTCAAACTAAGATTGCTTTATGAAACAAAGTTGCTGAAACTTTATAAAGGTTGCATATTACAATCTTCCAACAATTGTTTTAACTGTATTAACATAATTATGTGAAAAAGATCTAATACTAAAAGACATTCAAATATAGCACCAAAATGGAGTCAAGGGAACCTAGTGGTGGCTTAGAGTCCTATTCAATTTCTTCACCTATAAAATGAGGTGGGTGTGGTAGAGCACACCTGTAATCTTAGTGATTAGGAGACTAAGGAATATACCAGTTTGAGGCCAGCCCTAGCAATTTAGTGTGGCCCTAAGCAATTTAGAAAATAAGATAGAAAAAATATATATGATATATGAAACAAACAAAAAAAAATAGAAAAGGTTGGGAATGTGGATCACTGGTTAAGCACCCCTGGGTTCAATTCCCTATACCCCCCCCCCCCAAAAAAAAATAAAATAAAAAAATAAAAAAAGGTGGGGACATTGTTAACTCCATTGGGGCAACAGTATCTTGATCTATTTACAATGTAACCAGTCCAAAGAGCAGTGCCTAGCACATACTAGGCATTCTTCCATGTTGAAGTCATCAACTGAACATCAACCATAAGCTAGACCTCAAGAGGAAGTGCTGGAAAATCAAGGATGGGTAAGGCATAGAATGAGAACCTGGGTGTGGGTGTGACAGCAACATCCTGAAGATGGGACACATGAAAATGGTAAGATTTGTGAGAGGAAATTTTGATTTGGACTTCAGGAATGTTGAGTCTGAAGAGGTGCTGGACAGTAGGCAATGGCAGACACCTGAAAATAACAATGGGAAGTTCCTGAAAGGCTGGAGATCAAGGTACAGATCTGGTCGCCATGAACGTGTATCAGCTGGCACCTTGACTGAGCAGCTCAGACTATTTGGAGAAGAGGCAGAGCAGAGCTGCTTGCTGCTCCTCCTCCTGGAACATGGAGAGCATTTATTTGAGTATGCCTATCTTCTAGAAGGTAGGTCCAAGAACTTTCATCGAATCTTTAAGAGGTCTGCGACAAAAAGAGAAAGAGTACAATCTTACTAATGAAATGGAAGACAGGCAGGCCAACAATTGAATCTCACTCAACATTTACACGAATAGGGAAAATGTGAGGAAGATGTTGAGAAAGAGGACAGGAGTGGAGATAGGAACTGGGACAAGGTGAGGAGAAGTTTAGGGAGGACCAGGGAGAAGGGAGTTCTGAAAGCCAGACTCAGTACCAAGCACTTCTGAAGCATTCCAACTTGGGCAAGCACCCTGAGGCTGAGTGGACTAGAGGACATGGCCAGGTTCAAAAATACTATAAAGACTACAATATAAAAACCGTGGGCTGTCTTTCCTCCTCACACAAGTGGGTTCTAAACTTCAGGGAGAAAAGAAAGCTTCCGTCTGGTTCTAACATTCTGTTCTTTCTGCATAAACAGGCGTTCCGATGGGCCTGATTCACCGTGTAAAAGTGTTGACTTCTTTTAAAATTGCCCTCAGAAACACTCACAGACTCGAATGTCTAAATCAGACAACACCACAAAGTTACAATAATGAAAACGGTGTGGCAATAGCAGCAAGATGAGTGGAGGAGAGCGGACAGTCTACAAATCACCACAATGTCCAAGGCAAGGTGGCTTTTCACACCAGCGCGAGGGGCAGATCAGTCAACAGAGCCCTAGAATAACGCCCTGACCACTTATTTAGGAAAACAGCGCACAGCTGCTTATGCCGGTGGTTCTTCGGTGTGGGGCGTGCAGAGGTGACTGCAGGCCTCACCTGGCGCTACTGTAAGGCCTCTCCGCTGCTGCAAGTTCAGGACAAGCACAGCGGGTCTGAAGGCGCTTGGGGTCTGGCTATTGCCAGCCCGGCAGACCACAGAGGGGCCACATCTCCCACTTCCGCCTCAGAGCGCTAGGCCGTGCGCCCAGGGCCTGGCACGAGGGTGCCTGGTCACCCGACGGCACGTTGTGGCCAGCGCACCGACGGCGCAGGCCCTCGAGCCCCCGACGGCCTAGACGGCGGGGCGGGGCCTGGGGGCTGGGGTCGTGACCTTGCCCCGCCCGCGGGCACGGCTCGTCGCTCCCCAGGGGCCTCCGCGCCCGCCCGAACTTACTCGAAGACGTGCTCCGAGGTCCAGATCTTCATGATGCCGGTGGCCTGGGTCCTGTCCGGGAGACTCTAGGGGACAATGAGGCCACACTACCCCGCCCCACCCGCACCCGGCGGCCGCAAAGCGCGCAGGCGCCGTCGGGCCCGGCGCGAGGACGTCCCGACGCGCGGCCCCGCGCCCTATCCCGGCCAGGCCAAGCCTCAGCGCCGCGCAGCGCAACCGGGCTCCGCCCCCTGAGGGCGCTGCGTGCCGGCGCAACCGGGCCCCGCCCCCTGGGGGTGCGTCGCGCAGGCGCAGGGCTGGCGGCGAGCGCTCGGCAGTGGCTGTGCTGCGCAGGCGCGGTTCGTCACGGCGACCTCGTCCTGTCTTCTTGGCGTGCCCACCGAAGTCCTGTAGCCAACCCGCAGTCCTCCACGGTGCGGGTACCAACTGCCTGCGATGGGGATGACACGCGTGGCCGTCGGGTGGTGTCATTGCGCCCCTCCACCTGCATCAGCAAGCCCGCCCACAGGCAGGCTCTTGTCACCCTGAGGTCATCCTGTTTTACTCCCATTGGGAGGGAGCCTTTGAATGCTTCTCTTGCTGGGTGATGAGTCTCGGTACCCTCCTAGGAAGGGCTCATTGATCATTGGAAAGGGTGATAATTGCTTTTGGGATGAATTAACGAAATCGTCTAGCGTATCAGTTTGACTTCCACGAGGCTCTTGGCAGACTTGTGCAAGGGTTCATTGTACATACTTAACTAGTCATTTGTGGCTTAAAGCAATGACTAAGAAGTGAGGGGCCTGAGGGGGTGGCTTATGGTTGCGTTCAAGGTGAGCCTTGCCCTGGGGAGGAACTTTCAGGCTTACTTTTCAGGAGGAATCTTCCCAGCCCTGAGACCCCCAGTGACCACACACAACCTTGTATCTTCCAAAAGGACAACTTACCATTTGAAATGATGATTGTGGAGGGCAACCTTTACACCTGTTTTTTTTTTTTTTTTTTAAAGCTAGGCTGTAAAGTACTGCCATGTTCTTGTTCCTGGCTTGCTTGATTGTTAAAAACAAAAGGTTAATTTAAGAAGGTGGATAATTAAAAAAAATTTTATATATATATATATATAAAAACAACAACAGAAACATATATAATACATATAAAAAACAACAGAAAAGTTACATTAGACAAGAAGGAAATAATATGGTTGGGTAGTTGCTAAGTTCAATTTGTGGTACCTAGGATTAAAAAAGCCCCAAACCCTACAGTACTGAGAGTGATTTTCTTGGGAAGGTAATGTGTTAAGGACTGTGGAGAGTGCCTTAGCCTTGATTAAGATGAGAAGTTAAAGTCACTGGGAGTTAAAAACACTGGTTCAGTAACCACCAGCACAGAACAGCCTGTCCCTGCTATTCCTGGAGCTCCATGAGATTGTTTGCCATCCAGCATCCCAATTTTATTTATTTTAGAGAATGTTATTCTGCACCCCCCCCCTTCAAGATTTGTTTTTGAGTCATGAAAGTTAAGTGACACCTGTTCTATCCCTCCCATACACACATTTTATCAGTCCATTGATTTTACGTACTACATCTGAAGTGATGGGGATGAAGGTATGGCAGGATGGAGGTCTGGGACCCAAGTGTCTTTTCTTTCTGTGGTGGAAACGATACCACCATTTCTTACATTGGAGAGCAAGATTTTATTGATACTATCTCACCTAAGAGACACACAAGAAGCACATGAATGGTTTTTAGATCTTTAACACTATGTTACTGACAATGCCTCTCACAGAAAGAGAGAAGTCATTAGCAGGTCATTAACCTGATTTGGAACTGCATAACTGGTTTTTTGGCCCTGTCCCAGGGATGACACCTATCCTCACTCCCTTCCGGTTGTGATCCTGAGAGGAAGAATGCAGATGTGACTGCTACCTGCAAGAAGCTTCACAATTGACTAAGAAGCTGAACTATGAGTCAAGAAGTAATTGATACCTGAAGGGAGGGCTGTGCCGAGGGCAGAGATCCAGTGTTGTGCAGCCTCAGTCCTTAAAGAAGAGGAAGAGGGGCATTTTCCTGGACCTCAGAGGAGGAGATGGTTGTGGGTTTGGGATCATTAAGTGGTAAGAGAAGATTCACATGGAAGCACCAATGTTAGTGGCTCCCGTGTTAGCAGATAGCAGAGGCAGGCCTAGTGGGGAAGCTGGCAGTCATGGTTCTAACTAGCTCCTTTTATCTCCAAAGTGCATTCACTCACTTTTCATTTTCACGATTTTTGCACTATCTTTAGGCCACCCATTCCATTATTGGAACTTTTAAAATATCAGTGTCATATACAGAAAACTACCCTCATCCACGATTGTGCTTTCCACAGTTTCAGTTAAACATGGTCAGCTGTGATCTGAAAATATTAAACTGAAAATTCCAGAGGTATAATTCGTAGGATTGAAATTGTGTGCTGTTCTGAGTAGTGTGATGAAATCTCATGCCACCTTCTGTTCTGCCCTGGACACAAATCATCCCTTTGTCCATTGTATCCATACTTTATAGCCCACCCACCCATTACAAATAAATTTTTCAGTTATCAGATCAGATCAACTGTCAGCCATTGCTGGTGCTAGTATAGAGGGTTGGGCACTATCCATAGTTTCAGGGCTTGACTGGGGGTTCTTAGAACATATCCCCAGAGGATAAGGAGGAGTCTAGTCTAAAAAGAACTGTTTTGGTCTTTGCCCTTGGTCCTGTCACAGAGCTTCTAAAACCTGAGAAACTTCCTGATATAGATGTCTTTTGTTACAATGAGTCCTTTAGATAATTCCTAAACTGATACTAGTGAGGTGACTTGAGTGGAGTGGAGGGCCAGCTAGCCTAAGGATGGGGGTCAGACACCAGAAAAGCTAAGCAATTAGAGGGTTGGAATTTTAACCCTGTTCATCTGTCTCCAAGCCAGGCTGTGTAGAGCTGGAGATTAAGCTCTCAACTCGGGAGTTTGATAGGCTTCTGGGTTGGTGAACACAGTTGCATGCCAGGAGGGTGAGGTCCTGTGCTCTTGGCCCTTCTGGACTCTGTCCAATGTATCTTTCCCTCTGGGTGTATGGTTTCCTCTGTGATAAACTTATGTTTCTCTGATTTCTGTGAGGCGTCCTAACAAGTCACCAAAACCAAGGGGGTTTGGTGGGAATCCCCGTTTAGAGCTGGCCTCTGGAGTGAGGGCAGTTTCCAGAGATTGAGCCTGAAGCCTTGGGGATCTGACCTCATCTCCAGGTAGGCTGTCAGCACCGAAAGGTCTTCTGCAGGATTTCCTCCCCCTCACTCCCACACCTGGTGTCAGTGGAGAGAATCCATAGGAGGAAACATTGATTTGTCATAGCTTCATGAATTTGCTGTAAATGAAATTTTATGTAACTACTGTGCTGTCAATAGAATACCAGTTTCCCCTCTGATATATGCGAAGTACATAACTCTTAAAATAAAAGTATAAACCCTATGAGCTCCTGGGTGTATTTTCATGTACTTCATTAGGGGGTGGGTCTCACTTTGGGGCTGACTTGCACACTTCTGAAATGCTCTTTTGACTTTTATCCATTCTCTTCAAACTTCAAACCACCTTTTCCTCTGAGGCTCTCACAACGACCTTCATCTCTGTATTCCTGTGATCTCCTTCAACTTCCCTCCCTCCCTCTTTGAAATGACTGTGTTCCCCTTGGTCCTGCTTCTCTTCTTAATTCACTTTTGGCCTTTGTTCCCTTCATTAATTTGTTGCACAGATGACCACTGGTCATCCACTCCAGGCTGTGCCTGTGGTTACAGAGCTGACTGCACCAGCTGTCCTTGTCTGGGGGATTTCCCCAGGGGGTGCTGGGCAGCACCTGGAGACACGACAGATTTTCACTCCTTGTCAGGATGGTGCTGTGGTGTCTAGGGGACAGAGGCCAGGAAGGCTGCTTGGCATCCTACAAGGCCTAGGATAGCGACAGTACCCCTCAGCAATGAAGAATATAGCTTTCAAAGTCAATAGTGTCATGGTGTAGGAACCCTAGAGTATGGCTAAGAGTAATCTTCCAGCCTACCTGTCTGGCTTCTGTTTCCTCCTCTATTTCCAAATCCATTGAACCCTACAGCTACATCATTATCTTCTGTCTTCGCTACATACTTCCACATCCTTGAACTTTGAACATGGAATTTTCCATGCCAGAATGTGCTTTCCCTGAATTTCCCCTGGAGAGCCTTACTCACATTTTAAGGTTCTGTACAAATGCTCCAGTTCCCGTGTCTCTGTGGGATGTCTTTCCCAGAGCTCTGCCCAAAGCATGGTCCTGCTGCGATGAGACCATTGCATTTTAAACAGCCCTCATGATGCCATGACCCAGCGCAGGTGTATGTCCATGTCTGCACCTGTGGTCTGAAGTGAGAAGGAAGGACACTGTTAGGGAGTCAAGAGTCCTCCTTTGCTGTTCTTCAGACTTTGAGTCCTTGCTGTCATTATGTGGCCCCCAGGGAAGTAAGAGCACAGATCCTCATCTGTCAAACCCAGGTGCTTGCTGGTGTCTCACACTGGTTGTCCGAGACTAGATGTTCATCTGTAAAACCAAAACTCTTGGAAAAGATGCAGAATTTCATCACATTTGATGAGAGCGATGTTCAAGAACTTCTCCAGAGTTCACCAAACTAGCAGCAGAAGACTTTGAATAGAATACAGGCAGTTGGCACTTGAGAAAGAAAATCAACAAGGGATGACCCCGAAAGAAAAAGCAGATCAGACAGCAATGATTTGAAGAACTGGGCTTGGAAGAGACCCTAGAGAAAACAAATCAAGTCCTTGAATATTTCTGCGGAAATGGCCACCACTGTAATTGGGCTGTGAAAATCAAACGTATTATGTAGTGTTACTTCTCAGTTTGTGGGCAAAGTATGCCAGAATTAGTGCTTCATTCATTCTATGTAGTGAGAATTAGCATAGAGTTACCAATTTAATCGGTGTTGTACGTGTGTGTGTGTGTATATATATATATATATATATATATATATATATACACACACATATATATATATACATATATATCATAATTTATGCACATGTGTATATGTGTGTATAAATTTATTATCATCACTTTGTATCTCATTCTTCAGGATAAAGTCTCAACTTTTTGTCATTATTATTA